GGCTGCGTTATGCATGTTGCGGTCAATTACTTTTACTTTTTCATAAGGCTTGCAAGTCATTCTTTAAGTTATATTTGTTGTAATTCTAAGAGAGAAAGTTTTTGATGGATTATTGTAATTAACCAAAGTAACACCTTACCACTAGTCTAAATTATTAAAATTTGTAAGATTTAAGATCGGGTTAAAAGTTTCCCCATGGCATTTGCAAATGAAGTATCCATGTGCAATTTTGAATTTAAAATTTAAAGAAAAAAAGAACGAAACAAAAGCTTTCAGATGTAGTTCTTCAGTGTTATTTGGGAAACTCCATATACTAATCATGCAAAATGCGATATGTTAAAAATTTTCATTATTATTTATTTAATCGAGTTTTTATTCTTTCATAATTTTTCTTAAAATCTCATCTTAAAAAACTTGATAAAAATTTACAGACTATGAAGAGAGTAATGAAAGTGAAAATGTTGGGTGGGCGAAACTGGAAGAAAAGATACAGTGAAACGTCGGATATAGAGGATACTGCAGTCTCACCATATCAACGATGCGTTGGATTCGGCAATAGCTAGTCTTTGTAGATAACTGTTTTTCGAATATTTGATTTTTTCAAGTGATTTATTAGTTTTAACGTCTCAAATTTTAGGAGCTTGGAAATGAATTTTTGATCACGGAAAATCTCCAGATTTGTGAAGCAGTTTTCGTTTTGAGACTACCGGTGCAGTTTATATATGTGGTAAATGTTCATTTTAATAATGAAAATAAGAAACATAGTCTATAGAAATTTAAAACAGCGATAATTTAAAATAATTGCAGTTTGCTGCTTTTTTTGAATTAGGATTTCAGTCATATAATTTTTGATGGCTCAGTTCTGAAACGCACTTTAGTCTTGCAACAATTAAGGAAAGTAAAGTGTAAGTAACTTTTGTGTTTGCACTACTTTTCAACTGTACATTTGTCTTACTTTGCCAGGTATTTTGCTTTAAGTGTTGTATTTATTACTACTAGAATTCAGTATGGCTTTTGAGATTTTTAATAAATAAGAAATGAGTATGAAAACATATTGCTTTTGCACTGAGTCTAAGAGATTTCCATGAAAGTTTTTGATTCGGTATGGTGATGTGTATAAAATTATTTTGTAAGCTTTATTTGGTTTAGAACTATTGGCAATAAGAGAGAAACGATGAAATAAATTAGAAAGTCTTAATTCCAGAAAAACTCCTTTACAAGAACCTTTGATTTTGTATCCGTCAAGTCCACTTTCTCTGATGTCACTGTATTTGTTCATAAATTTCCCGTGTTATTACTGGTTCTTCGTAGATTCCTCTTAATCTTTTGTATGCTGAATTTTTGAAGTGTTACTACCGTAATTTAACATCCTTTTGGATCATTTGTATTCAACTCATTCGGCAGTCTTCAAACAACGATGCGCATGCTGTATTTACCTGATATCCTGATCATTCATATATTTCTTGCTCCACACAATTTTTGTTTCTCCAACTAAATTTTTATATTTAGACCGAATTATTTCTTCAATCGTTCATGTTTGTCTTGTTAAATCTGTAACGCCGTGTCTTTTGACATTTGCATATGTTTTTTTTTTTTTTTTTTAAATTCTATCTTCACTTATTAATTTGTATGTTTAATACGGCACTTTATTACTGTCAAGTCACTACGTTTAGTTTGGTTCAAATCGAATTACACAAAGGGATAAAATTTTGAGAAATTCAAGGAAAATTCTCATTTTGTATTTATTTTCTCTTAATTTCCTGTTATCGAATTTTCTAACATGGCTTATTTCTTTAGCAGCAAAAATTCCTATAATTATAAGGGATGCAAGGGAGTTGAGTATGGAGTGTAGACTGGCGTATTAAATTTTAGTTTTCCAATCCCAGCCTTTCTTGGATGAAAATAATATATTTGAAGAGAGTGAGAAAATATTGAATGTTTTGTCTTTTGATACTGATATGATTTAAGTTCTGTATTCCTAGCTAAAAAGCGGAAATGTTGCTTTTTCCAGATTTCTATATCCAAAAGTTTCATAAATTTCACAAAGATTTTGGATTTAATTAGCGGGTTCAACTAAGAGTGATGAATTGTTTGTATAGTGATTTTCAAAATCACGACATTTGTCAATAATCGATGAAACAGTTTGTTCGTTTTTTTTTTCTTGATATTTCAAACAATCTTCTCTTTCCAGCTTCTAATTTATGTGTCAGAGTCAATCTTTAACTCTGATGGATATTGATATCTTAAAATTGCAACATATGGATGAGAAGTTGTGTCCAATGACAAATGGATAAGGTAGATATTGTGAAGAGATCATTGCATGTATTGTAAAATACTGTATTTGTATCTAGATGTAATAATTATTTTCATTTTATTTTGGTTTTGTAACTGTTATTAGTTTGAAAATTTCCGGTTATTTTATATGCGCTTCGTTGATGGCTTATATATTGTTCCGATTCGTTGATCAAAAGATTCTGTAATGTAGCAAATTGTGTCTATGTGTAAACGTTAATATAATGTCGCATCATGACCAGTGTATGAAGTATGGCAAATAATTGTTGAAATTTGTTAATATGTTACAATCTTCACATATGGCATACCTGGGCTTAAGTAGTCCTTTTTTTCTTTCTTGCTTTTTTTTTTTTTTCTATGGGTGAAGCTGATATCTTACCATTAAACCACTGCCATACTGATATCATTAATCATTTGTCAATACAAACAATTAGCTTGCCCACTTCTCTTTAACGTTTTAAATTGAAAAATGTGTCTCAGACTAGGGTCATAATTGGATGGGTTGTAACTATTGAATGAGAAAAAAAATGAAGTGTTTCTGCACACTACATCGTTCATATAATCGTAGCCACTAATTATTTTCATTAGTTTCTAGAATTGGCTTTAACAACTCTACCTTTTAAGTGTTTGAATTCTCTTTGCTTACTGAAACTGACATAAAGAATTATGTTGTGATTTCTTATTAATTTTTTCTTCTAATATGTAAGTGTCGAGAAAAATTAGGTAAGAGTGATTTATGCGAATGTATGATCATGAAATTCATTTTAAACTGACGTGATACAATTTAGTGGCAGTAGTAAGTTACTACTTGTTCAGTTTTTTCATATCCCATGTATTAGGAGTTTAAATGTCGGAGAATCATTATTGGTAATTATTTTTAAAGTTTTGCCGATATTTTTTTCACAACGAGAATTCATTGCAATGAAAAGAAAACACTTTGTACAAAAGAAATGGTCATGACATAGACAAATGAACCTTTCTTGGTGTTCAATTGATGTGGGATTCTCATTTCTCGTTTCATTCTACATTTTTCACTTTCAGCTTGAAAATTTTAGACTTTTTGTGAAAAATATCTCGAAAGAAACAATTTGAGAAACGGTAATATTCTGGAATTATTTTGGTACGAGAAAAGTGGTCCCTAAATTATGTCTTGGTTGAAAATGGAAGTCGATGAGATAATACTATTACTGCGATATATGAATGTAAAAACATTAATGAATTTCAAATATTTTCAAGTTAAGTACCGATTTTAGTTAAAATCATACCGAGATTTCAACATGGTTACAGGAGTATCATAGCCTGAAATTATCTTTTCTAATTTCAAAACTAGTTTTAGTTTTTCAAATGAATCTTTTCAGTTAATACTTGTTGAAATTAACGTCTCTACTAACATGATAGTGTAGACGAAATTGAATGAAAAATGATCTCTTCAAATGAGCAAAACATGTTTTTAAGGCGCTTTTGTTTCCGATTTCCCTTTCAGCATTCATTTTTCTGACAGTTATCACTTGTAAAAGAATGAACTATAATAATAAAAAAAAGTAAGAGATAATGTTGTCATTCCCGTGTCACACATATGATTTTTCCATCTTTTCCTATTACTGCGTTTAGTGTTTTTCGTATATTTTTGATGTCAGATAAGTAGTACAAGAAGAAATATTACAAAAAGTATAAAATAAATGGTCTTTCCTCGATGTTACTTCTATTTTCCCATTTTCTAAACTCACCTACTGTAGCATTTCTTCTAATTTCGCTTTTTATTTTGCATTTCTTATTGCACTTTAACAGTCATCATTCCTTTTGTATAAAATATTACGGAATGAGAAAACTTCAGAAATAATCCTTTGAAATTATTACAATAACGCAAGAAAGTAACTTTTAAAATGTGTTGTAGATTGTGGACAATGAAATAAGTAATGTAACGTGTTTTTTCATATACTGTCATATCATAATGTATTTACCTGTCGGTAGCGTATTTTTGTAAAAAAAAAGGAAAAAAAATGGGGTCCTCCTTTCACAGTGGTACGCTTTTTTTCACCATCGACAGTTATTTTATCCAATTTTTCTTGAGAATAATTTTTCAATTTTGCTTTTTCATCGATGATCAGCAAAAGATTTGGAAAATTTAGTACAACATTTGGGGTGAATTATTATTGAGCACTTATAATTTTTAAAGTTATTGATATAATTTTCATCTGATTTTGGAGCGAATTATTGAAGTCGGCGGAGGAGGGTGAATTATTAACAGTCAATATCCAGGATTTTATAGTTTATGTTTCATATAATAATTAGAATAATTCAAAATAATATGTGTTCTAAAGGCAGTATTCGTTTCCGTCCAGATAATATATAAGAATAAAAATCCTGAAAATTGGTAAATTATTTTTGTTTTCTCTCAGTTTGCAACAAGTTTGTTGTTTTGTCAAATTTATCCTGTCACGCTATAATTTATTAATTAGTTGAGTAAAAGTTCTTTTTAAGTCCTAAATTGCACAAAACGTGCTATATATGTAACAAATAGCAATTTCATAGTTTGATACAATGATTTTTTCACATTTCGTAAATTTATCTTTTTTTCAGTTTGATAATAAAGTTCAATACAAAGTGAATTTTAGCTATTGCAGTCTTCTTATCCCATAAACTGAATTTGATATTCAGTGGATGCAACTGAAACTTTTCAGTTTGAAAACTTTTAACTGAAGCTATAAATGCCTGAAAGAATTTGTGTGGTAGGTGCAGGAGCAAGTGGTCTGACTGCTACTAAAACATGTCTTGAAAATGGCTTACAAGTGGTATGTTTCGAGAAATCCTGTGATATTGGTGGATTATGGCGATATAAATCACAACCTTGTCCTGGTTTGGATTTAAAAAGTTTATATATCTGAATCTAAAGAGTTAAATCTTCACTTCATAGCATATTCTGAAGCTGAAAAAAGACTTTAATCTCTGTGTTTAGTGGGATTAAAAATAGTACGCATATTAAGCTCAGATCTATCATTGAAGTCGAAGCGTTTTTGATCATATCAATTTCGCAATATTTAATATACAAACTATCTTTAAAATAATGAGGATATTGACTGATGTAACATCTTAGGAAGTTACTGCTGTGACAGTTTGACTGTTGTCATGCCCTATTTATCCTTATTAAATTTCATGATCAAACAGTTTGGTCCAATAGTACTGAATTGGATGAAAAATGATAAAATTAAATGAGTGTCAAATGAAATTTAAGGATGAAGGTGAAATAGAACAAAAAAAAAAAAGAAACGAAATTGATAATATACACGAGGATAAGAAAAATGACAAATTGGGAAATATTCGGTTATTAGAGTCGGAAATAGCAAATGGATAAGTATGCTTTAGATATGATTATACTTATTTTTGGGTAAACTAGTTTTTTTTTTTCCTGATATAAACTAACTTTATAAGCTTATGAGATTCTGAAAATTATTCAGCTAATGATCTTTTGAACAGTCACAGTCTTTTGAATGAGTGGAAATAAAGAAATCTTTTGTTCAATAATAATCTTTAAAACTAAACTTTATTGTCTATTTTTTAATCTTTTTTGCTTTTATAACCATTTGATCTTAATAATCAACATTTTCGGAAATGTACTAATAAAAACAAATTTTACATTTATTTTTTTTCCTTTAGTATTTCTAAGCTTTCATCGAATTTATTTATTCTTTAGGAGAGGGTACCGTGATGAAAAACACGACAATCAATACATCAAAGGAGATGACAGCTTTTAGTGATTTTGTGCCACCACCTGAAATGCCTAATTTCATGAGTCACATTCAAATGTTGGCATATTTTCGATCTTACGCTAATCATTTTCATTTGCTACAACATATTCGTTTGAGTCATGAAGTAACACGTATTGAAAGAGATGAGAAATATGAAGAAACTGGACGATGGAATGTTACTTATCGCATCATTAAGTGAATTAATTTATTTCATTTATTGATCCATTTATTTTTTCACTTGTAGACACTGACATAAATGCCAAGCTGCTATACATGATAAGGAAGTATAGATTGTCTTTACAGTGGAGTAACGATTACTCCCTTACTACAACGTTCAAATTTCGACTCTTAAATCATTTGATCTACCAATATGTTTTTCCTTCATTTCGATTTGCAATGAAAATGCTCAACCTTTTTTGGCATTTCGTTTTCTGAAACCTCAATTTTTTATTTGAGTATTTCATTATTTTTCCCGCTTTTGCTACTTACATACAACTGATGTTATCATTTTATAATTTGCCATTATGTTCTATTTTTTGAGATGTCCCAAGTATTCTTTTGTTGACCATCATTTCTGTTATCAATTAAACATTTTAAAAAAAGATTCAGCTTTATGTCTTTCATCCATCATATGCACTAGCTATCATTTTAATTTCTCCAAGTAATTACCATGTCAACATATAAAGCCAATTTTCCTGTTTGCCTCCTACACAATTTAAATGACTTTTTTTTGAACTTCAGCAGCTTCTTTCATCTATCCTTCCTTTTCTCATTTTATTCTTTTGACCGTCTTCCTATTCTTGCCTTACATTATCTTTCCTCACCTGCTAGCCGTCTGTATCTCCCTTACTATTTCCGCTCACATCACTATAAATTTCCTTCATCTTTATTAAATCCTTTAAGCTTCGTGTTACAGAAAGTCCTATTTTTTGGAATGAAGCAAAGATGCTTATATGTTTGTTTCGGTATGTCACAAATTAATGTCTGAAATCCTTTAATAATTACATATTTTCTCTGAAAAGCATTCTTTATCTTTTGTTCATATCTCAGAAAGAATGATTGCCCGCTTGATTATAGCCGTTCAGTCCTTTGTTCTTACCACTTGCATTAACAATAGACTTCAAAGAAAGTAAACAAGCAGCTAGAAGATGGAGAAAACTGCTAACAAGAAACATTTACAAAAAAAATTTTTTTTATAGCGATAATACAACGCAGACTGAGAAATTTGAGGGAATATTGCTCTGCTGTGGTCACCACACAATACCATATTGGCCTAAACCGTTCCCAGGACAGGACAAATTTCGTGGCGAAATTATTCATAGCCACGATTATCGTGAACCATTTTCGTACATTGACAAGACTGTAGTATTGATTGGAATTGGTAATTCTTCTGGTGACATTGCAGTCGATTTAAGTAGAATTTCCAAAGAGGTACGATTCTTTTTTTAGATTTCAAAATTAAGTCCTAAACTGTTAAGATATTTTGCCTTAAAGAATAACTTCTATTCATCAGTAATTAATATTTCAGGTTTACATATCAACTCGTAATGGAACTTGGGTGATTGGTAGAACTTGGGATAAGGGTGAACCGATCGATCTTGTTTTTGTTAGTCGCTACGTGCAGACAGTAACAAAAATTATGCCATCATGGGTAAGTTGTTGACAAAGTGAATTCATTCATTTTTGTTCAATGTTACTGATTTAATGTAAACTACCATTAAATTTTGTTATTAGCTAAATTTCCTGCGAAACTCGCCAATAGTGTCCCTTAGCAGGAAACTCTAAAGTAAACATATGATAGGACAATTAAAAATATTGCCCAATAATCAGTAAAATTAAAAAAACATTATAAAAAGCACGTGTTAATAAAACAGAGTTTCCTCTGCTCAAGCAAAATTATATATAGAAGAACAACCAGACGGAAAGAAATGAACTTAAATTATTGAATGGATTTAAATTTTTAAGTTTTTTTTTGTTAGCCATCTTCGGCTTTTTTAGTTTTCTAAACTCCTTTAACTTTATTTGTATTATTTAAATTTATCTGTTATGGACGCTTAAAATAAAGTATATTGCAGTTGGTCAACAAATCATATGAAAAGAAACTTAATCTGCAGTTTGATCATGGGCGATATGGTTTAAAACCGAAGCATCACGCTCTTGCACAACATGCTACTATCAGTGATGAGTTGCCGAGTCGTATCGCATGCGGAACTGTTATTGTAAGTAAAGTTAAACCTATTAAAAAACAAAAATTGATAAAAAAGTTCCAATCTGGCTAATTATTGAGTCAATTGAATCAAACTGAATCAGTTTGATTGATGACGATCAGGTGAGCTTTCTTAAACCTACGTCTTATAATTTAAGAACGCCATGTGCATACTGCATTCTATTATTATTCTTTAGCTCTCACTAATTGAATAATCGTAATGGCATGAAGAATATATGAGTACTTATTTCATTTTGTATAGAAAAACGATATTTTAGATTAAACCGAATGTTGCTCGTTTTACTGAACATGATGTGATATTCGAAGATGGTACAGCGGTGTGTAATGTTGATGCAGTGATCTTTGGTACTGGTTATTCGTTTCAATTTCCAATCGTTGAAGATGGTAATCTCATACCTGTTACTGATAATAAAGTTGATCTATATCTGCATATATTTCCACCACAATTATCACCAAAGGTTTGCTTTTTTTTTAAATTTGGAAATTTGGAATCTTCAAAATTATTTTTTTCTCCTTCCATGATTCATACTTTTTCTCTTATTCTTGCATCTTTCATCATTTTCCTCAAGCAAACTATTCACATTTGCAGAACACTTTGGCTGTAATAGGTCTTATCCAACCGGTTGGATCTATAATGCCTGTTTCCGAAATGCAATCTCGATTTTACTGTGAAGTATTTGCTGGCCATTGCAAGTTACCCGCAATCGATAAAATGAAAAAGGATGTTGAGAGAAGGAGAGTGCAAATAGAAAAAAGATTTCTGAAAAGTCGACGACATACTTTAGAGGTTTATCATAATCATATCACATAAAAAAACTCACAAAATAAATAAAATATTATTTGTATTCACTTAAGGTAGATTATGCAACCTATATGGATGAACTAGCGAAGATGGTTGGCGTGAAACCGAATTTGCTGAAGTACTGGTTCACTGATCCTCGTTTGGCATATATTCTGTTATTTGAAGGCTTGGCACCGTATCAGTTTAGATTAAATGTTAGTTTTATTTTTAATAAAATTAGCGTAAATTTTGGAGAATATGCAGTTTGCAAAATTGCAAAATTTGCACAACTAATTAGATGTGTTTTTGTCACTAGCAATATTTATGATCAGTTTTATGTTTTTATGGGAAATTTGTGCTTTTTTCACGAATTTCTTCTAAAATTTAACTCTAATTACTTTTTTGGAATCAGCAAAATAGTTTGATTACGCTTTGCAATATTCCCTGCTTTGATAGCAGTACCCCTCTGCGAGCATTGTTGTTCTAGAAAAAACTTTTAACTTATGCGGTAGAATTTTTCTGCTATAGCTCCATGCATAAAAGTGTCATCTGAGTTTCTCCATTGTTTTTGCCTCAGTTATTGTATTTGATCAGTTTACTTTTTGTGAACTGGAACTAATTTGTAGCCTTTTTTTTAGGGTCCATATGCATGGGTTGGAGCGCGTGATGCATTGTTAGGTATGGCGAGACGGACATTCGAGAATTCTCGCACACGACAAACTACTGAGACAATGAAATCAAAACCGATTAACAAGTTTTTATATTATCTTAACATGATGAAATTTTAATGTATTTATATATTTCGATTACAACTGTTAATTCTGCACATTTCGAGATTAATCCTATTTTAACTCGATGTTTCTATTATCGCAATATGGGATTCAGTAAAATTTTGGGTGGTCTTGAAGTTCAGTCTTAAACGTCAAGTTAACAAATTATTTGGCAATATAACTTCTTTACATCACATAAATAATGAGCACATTTATCGCTGAGCCAAATTCCAGCATTTGTTTATAAAAAGCGCCCTTTGATATACTGTTAATCAGTTTAATAACCAGATCTGTTATTAAACAGTTCTTCTTTTCAGTCTGATAAAAGTAGCTACAAAAAGATACGGCCAATCACTTAGTTGAAAATTAGTTACTAATTTGATGATTAATTGTAGTTAATTTGGTCATCTTTTATTGAAGATTCTCAGTGTTGAGCATTATCCTTTGAGATACATAATAATAGCATAGCGTATTTGAAAATTATTTATTCAAAACTTATTTTAAGTTCCGCACAATACTTATTAGATCAATGTTCCATAATATTTAACATTAGCACCTGAATCATTATTATTACGACTACAAAATTCTGTCATATTACATTTAGCGGTTATTATATTCAATTAAGCTCGTCGCTGAAGATGAAGGTAAATATTTTCATTCTTTCAACGTTTTTCTGAAAAAAAAAATCATAATTATCAACTTTATTTGAAAATTATTTATTCAAAACCTATTTTAGTTCCCGCACAAAATTTTTAGTTTCCTTATCAATTTAAAGAAAGAAAGAAAAAAGGATATTTCACTAAAACATATTAACATGTTATTACTCTTTGCGAATTTAAGCTTCATAACTTGTGCATGAGTTCACATAATCAGTTATGAAATCGGATTCTGATTTCTAAGTAAAAACGAAAGAGCTTTCTTTTAAAAAAGATTTCGATCGAAAATCTGAATTCTATTACTTGTTAACTTATGAGCTAATCCGATTGTATGGTACTAATAAAAGCTATGTGTTTCACGTCTTTATTTTCAGGTGTAAAATTTTAAAAGCTTGTACCTATTCCTTCTGTACAAGGAAACTACAGCAGTTAACAAAATGGTAAGAAGAAGTGAAGTAGCAATAAGCAGTGCACCAAGAATCGGGTAGGTTAGACATACTCTCTGTGATGCTACCAATGCCACTGCCATTCCAATTTTTGATCCATAATTGGACTGAAATTGACTATTTTATTTATAGTTCTTTAATGATATTATTAATTAAATAAATACTTTTGCTTCAATATTCTCGGTAGATCTAGGATAATTTATTGAAATTTGTATAGTACAAAAAAGTATCAAAGCAAAGATCATAAGTATGTTGTCTGCTCAGGCATATGATAGTATGTATGTCTGATGTTAAAATTTCAGGAAAATACTTTTGAATCATTGCAATGCTACGACTTATTCAAAAGCAAAAATTAGAGCTAAAAAACAATACCTGACTGACTTCTCGCACCAAATATCGTGATCGAGGATCAGATGCCCCGTTTTCCTCAATGTTATCGAGCATGCTGACTGTAGCAACCAAATCAATCTGATGACTGTTATGTAAATCTGATACATCATGCGCATCTTTTTTTAATATGATGCTAAAATGTTGCTAATTTTAGAATACTTATTACAGTCACTCTGTAATGATTACAGTTTTATCACTCAAAAATTTAAATATCACCTAGAATTGTTGTCAGCTATACTGCGCCGAATTCGATTATTACTAGTGCATGTTGGTGGAGTAAGGCCTTCACATTCGCCAGCACTTTTCTTACACAACTCAACGACACACTGATAATTCAGGACTGAAGTATCACTGAACTTATATCCCCATGTCTCCACCACTGCCTATAAAATACACTCAACATCTAAAATTTGAATGATTAATTGCTAAAAACACTGGAATGCAGCTCCCTGAAATTCATCTGTACTTTTCAATATTTTTCATTTGTATTTGTTTTGACATTTAAATTTAAAATTAGTTGTTCATTGTATAAGGGAGAAAAGACATTTTGTTCAATAATGTTATGATGAATTAGAACTATCAATCGATCTAAGTAATCGTGTATCAGAACAAAACATACAGATTAAACCTATAAACATGATAAAAATTTTTTTTTAATAAAATAGTTTTGGTTCCACTTTGCAATAATTTTGTTATATTTTAAGAGTAAGGGCCTTAAAACTGAATAGTTTTCTATTCAACTACTACGCCTTCTGCATTAGAAGATTTAAGAAAAGATCATTATGTTGATTTCTTTTTTTAAATTTGTAAAAACATAGAAATACTTTACTCTTTTCAGATCTTCATCATATTGCACATCAGGTTGAATAATTGGATCAATAGCGCATCCATCCAAGTCAAGCTGGAATAATTATTAATTAAAAATTTCAACTTATTAATAACTCAATTAAATATTAAATAGTTTAAAGTAAAAAAAGTCAGATACCAAGTCATATCGTGTTCCTCGTCCATCGTTAACGAAGCATGAATGTACCAAAAAGCCTTGTGTGTCATCGTCACACTCCCAAACATGGTAAATTTTTTCACCGACTTGGCCGTAACTATAACGTATAAACTATTGTATCAGATCTATTCAAATTGTTTAGATTTAGTTCTTTTTAAAGAAGTTGAATGTAATCGTCTAAATTTGATTAGAAATGTATAAAAACAATTTATTCTTAAAATATTTTAGAATGATTTCTTGCTCAAGTTATTTTTCCCAAAACATTCAATTCATAAAACGGCAGTTTGATTAACAATAAATCAAATTGGTGAATTGACACAAACAAGTAACCAATAGGACACTAATAAACAAGAAAAGTTGTTATAAAAGTTGGTACAAGTTATTCCAACTTTGAAAAAATTTTATTAGTATGAACTAATTTCAATTCTGAAGAAATTTTACACAGCTGGTGGTCCATCTGCGCTTCCAGCATGAATGCTATATGTGCAACTGGGCATTTGTACCGCATCCATCAGCTCAGTAGTGCCAATTGATGACATATCCACACCGGATGTTAACCGTTTGATATTTCGGAAAAAACACATGCAACGATAGGCACGATCAGCCCGCGTTACAAATGTCCCATGAAACGATACTACGATTGTAAGAGAGAACATAATACCCTAAAATTATGTAAAATACTTAAATTTTTACATGGAAGTCTTAAAATGTTTTGTGGAAGGCTCAAATTTTATGCTAAATTATTGCGCCAATATACATTGCTAGATGTAAGCAAAATAGCAGAGATAATTATCTGAAGCTTCTTAAAGGTACCTCCAAAGAACCAGTAACTCGCTGCCGTTGCATGGTACAATCACCATTTTGAATCATCATTGAAAATTTGTTCTGATCGACATTTGATGCAAAATTCCTGGAGCATCGGTCATCATCAGCTAGCCCACGTACATACACACGTCCGGTAAATGGTTTTCTGGTTCTGAATGTTAGCGATACCATGGTGTCCTCACAATCTACCTGAATATAAATGAGATATACATGAATGATATAGCATAGGTCATATCATAATGACAGGATCTGCTCAATTCTAGGTAACTCCATTGTTACCAGAATAACACTGATAACAAGTGAAGTAAATAGTAAGACTCCCTTATAGTTTTAACTGCTTTAACAGCAATAGGGGATACGAATGACTGAATATAATGTCAATTAATTTTGATGATTAAACAGAAAGTATTTAAAAAAAACATTTAACTGATATTCAACTGACATTTATAAGCAATATTCAAATTTGTCCATCAGTTTCATTATTTTTTGATGTTAGCTAACATTGCTCATCACAACACATTAAAGTAACAGTTAAGAAGCTTCACACTGTTCAAAAAGTATTAAATGCATTAACGGTTAAAAAGTTTTAGGATTTGTTTTGTGATAATCGACCCATTGGTGTATTTCAGTAAATAAAATTTGTTAGAAACGATATTATATTGGCAATAGGTAATAAAAAAAGAAAGTTAGTGGGAAAAGCTCACCACTGGACTTCCTATCAATTCGTTATCAATTGTAGCGGTTAATATAGCATTCATGAGATTATATATCAGAAATAAATTGATAATATGATGGACCTTCGAAGTTTGCATAATTTTGAGCGTCTATTGTTTAAAACAATTCACATATAACTCAACTATCCCAAAAAGGCATATATATGATAGCTGGGCTATCAATTAGGACATCAGTAGGAGAATAGAGGAAAGAGAAGAAAAAAGAATTGAGAAAAAGGAAAAGGTACAAATGTGCTCCTATTTGGATATTAGGGATGTCAAAACATGGAAAAAAAATCCCATTTCCATCTCGCCGTTCATATTAAGGGTAAATAGGTCACAAATCTTAATTGGTATGTAAATTTTCATAACATCAAAGATTTTCATCCATCGATAAATTGAGAAAATAAAAGGAAGAATTTCTTTTCATCTTTTTTATCCAAAGATGAAAAGATTCCTTAACTAAGGACTAAAGAAAATTTGTCTCATAAATTATCCGTTATTGCTATTGTTGTTGTTGTCGTTGTTATTGTTGCTGTTAATAATTATTCGAGTATTACAATTATTGAAAATGTTTCATTTTGTCCGTACAATTTTTGCTTTGTTGAGTTTTTAATTATTACTTTTAACTTATACAGATTAATTTGGTAGAGGATTTTTTATATATAGTACAAAATAAATAAAATGGATACTTTATGATATCCTGAATATTCTAATACTGATTTATTTCATTGAGATACACTGATCTTTTCAGAACAACTTCACATTTTCCCATTGAGATATGGTCCTCGGTTCTTATAATTATGTATCAGAAAATTTTCGACTAGGTTTTGTTGCTTTCGACTAAGAGGAAATAATTTTTTCGTTTATACAAGCGCAATAGTTTAATTTAGTCCAATATTTTTTTTCTTTCTAAACCTTAACTGGATGATATATTTAAAAACGACAGAATGCCGTTTTGATCTAATTTTCACAATTTTCTCAAAAAGATAAGAAAGCAAAAAAAAAAGTAAAGGATTCTTTTAAGGATGGTCGTGAATTGCAACAGGATGTTTAATGAGTTGTTATCAGAGTTGATCTTGTCATCATTACCTTCTGGAGTCTTTCTGGAAACAAAAATTTTTCTTCTCATTCATAAGGGGGATTTGACCTCATTATCCAGAATTTTCCCAAAAGACAAATTGCATCCGATAATTTCAATCACAAGCGTTTATGTTACACTTTGAAGTTTTAAATGCTCTTCCTTTATCTTCCAATCCCCATCCCTTCTCCTTTTCAACATCCATCATAAATTCCAATGTTATACTTACCTTAATTACATTTTCAAAATAATTCATTTGGGAATAGGAAAATAAAGTCTCCAGAATTTTTTTAGGAAAAGGAACACATGAAAATTTTCAGGATAGATTTTTGAATTAGTTTCATTTTGTCTAAATAGCCTGAAAAAGTCATAGAATCACTAAAAAGTTATTTTTCCAAAGTACTATCATTTTATACTGCTATTCACCTAAGTATTATTTCGGATCTATTCGATTAATGCATGCAAAAAATTCTTCCCATTACTTTTAAAATTGCCAAAACTTTTGGTCACAATAGAAGGTTAGCAGGAAAGAATTTCCTGTTACAAAAATGGAAATTTTTAAAAGTTACTATTCCTTGTTGCAAATCACTGAAGAAGGAAAGATTTGGAAAGCATAAATGAGTTCACTTAAATTCAACCATTTTATACAGTTCTGAATCTTACCGATGAATGACTGTTATGAAATTTAAATTCCCAAAAAGAAAAAAATTATGTCTCTAAACATATAACACCAACTGGAATCTCCAGAGAAAAAATGTTACCTCAGTTTAACAATTTTTTTTTTAAGAAAGCAAAAATGAATTTCAGAAAGAAAATTCAATCAACAGACTTGAAAAAACAAAACAAAAAGAAGAAGCTTAACAATTTTAATCTATCTTTCTCATGAATTCATTATGCATTAAATTTTTTTCATTTTCCCTGCTGTTTCTCTCTTCATTTAAAAGAAAATCCTAGATAAGCTATCATCATCAGTTTAAGCAATCAATAGTAGTTCATCTCTCTCAACAATTTACATCCATGAAATGCAATTAACGCTTCATCTTTCTAAACATATTTTATTCTAGAAAAACGAAAAACCGGTCATAGTAGAACAGTAGTAGTAAATGAATATCAATCATTCTAACACTGTACAATGTCTGTCAACCATGTATCTTTCTGCGAAGGCAACAAAAAAAAAATGTGATGCTAGAGGGGCATTAGATTAAAATCTAAGCGTAACTGAGCAAAAATGAGGTACAGACCTCCGTCTTCATGACACACACAATGTTTTGGTTCCTTTCTGTGCTTTCGTTTAAACCAGCTGATGATTTTATTCCGTTATTTATAAATCTTCATGATTAACTTGCATAAATAACTTCATTTTAGTTATATCCACTACTTCTGGTGGGCAAAAAAAATCATTGACTTTTTTCCTCAGTATCCTATATCACTCGGCGGTGTTTCAAAAAAAAAAAGGAAACTTTTTCAGTATATCGGAATGGAAACTTTGTTGAATTCCTCATTTTTATCCTTCTTTAGCATATGTTAGGAAATATTGCTAAGACATTCTTTGCTCTTTTTCTCTATTCGGAAAAGTAAAATTTTAAATTTCAATTTGAATTTACTTAATTCAAGCCAATTTTTTTAGTATTTCAACTAAAATACTACACTAATGGCGACCATTCTGCAAATGCATTATATATTAATATGTTTAAACGAGTTCAGCTTTTTTTTTTCCATCAATTAAATTTGAAATGAATAAATGAATACACATTTGTTACATTTTTCCCTTTCATTAAGTTTTTTCTTGAGTGACAATTAAAATGCCGCTATTATTTATTTTCTGAACAGTCTATTCTCAATCATCCTACCACTCGCTTCGAGTACTCTGAGGAATTTGAAAAATTTCTCAGAAATCTTGTATGGAACAAGTACTCTGTCACCTTTTATCGATGGTTTGTTTCAAAACAAATATTCCTTCACTTCAATACTCACCACATTTTTTAACGACATTTAAGCTGTAAAACAAGCAGCATCATCAATCTCATCGTACTACTAGCAACAGTATTAATATTACATCCATTTTTTAACAGCAAATCTGAATTGTTTTACCGCGACATCTCGAATATTCTAATTATTATTTTCAGTTTCTCCACAAATTTCCCTGGATATTGAAGTATGCATGCATAAACTATTTTTAATATGAATGAAATTATACTGTTTTGAGACTTTTAATTTGTTTTATTCCAATTAAATAAAAAATTTATACTAATTTATTATAGTTAAACACTTCAGTATGCTGAAATGATTTCCTCCTTAATCAGCTAATTAGCCTACTCATTTTAAACCTAATAAGATCAGTTACTGTTGACTACTTATGTTTTGAACATTAGAACAGCACAATTTGTAGGAATATCTTTTAATTTCAAATATCTGTAAATTTCTAAACAGACACCACTTTTTGATAGGATCAACTAATTAATATATGTACATATATTAAGTCTATAAATATTTATTTGCATTGTATACTATATCAATCATAAACGAATTTGATAGAATTTAGCATTTAACTTTAGGTATTTTGTCACTTTAATAATATGTAACTGAAAAGCTCGGACTTTTCTAACACTTTTCTAATACATTATTTGTATTTGAGTAAAAATATCGCTTTATACTCGAAATTTCACATTTTGATGTGACCTTTTATCAATAATAATCAAATCTTAACACTTGTCTTTCCTCATTAAACCTTTATATAACTGCAGCATTTCCTCCTTCTTTCGTTTCCTTTAATTCTAAAAGATGAAGAAAACACTTTTTTAAGCAAATAGTCAAATGTCCCATTAGTACTGTTTTGATAATTTTAGGGATTGTATTGTATTTATAGTGCAGCACAAGCTGAGGAAAATATTAAATGTCTTTGAGAAGACGCAGTTCTTACCGAGGAATAGTATGAAGAAATGTCAGTGAAATGTCAATCGTCCTGATTGCGCTCTTTCTTGTTGCTGTATCAAAGAATCTTCTTGCCACCTGTCAACTCATTTGCACCAATGAATCTTCTGGGTAAATCGTTACTTCTAATGTTGATTTATGTTCAAACTCCGTGAATTCTGATAATTTTGCTTTGCCTATATATGATATAAAAGATATTTATCACTGATAAGCGAATGATATCGCAGTAATGCTTCTGGTTCCAATATTTATTGAACATTTGGAGTGAATTCTTCTAGTACGCTTATTCCAACGCAGTGTGTTAAGGGAACACTGTTCTTCATAAAAGGACATTGAGAATATCTATCATTTGTTTGTTCCAGCTTGAATGAGAAAAGAATATGCTTTGATCTCAACAAAGGTCGCTTTGTTGATCCGAAAATTGGCCGAAATTCGATTTATGATATGGAAGTCAGCCTTAAACGACAAGAAATCTCACTAGGCCGAACTCGGAGAAAACGTACTTTTTTTGCAATTCGTAATTCCTAGTCAATGATTTGCAAATTTCATTATTGTGATTCTATAAATAATTACTAGTCAGTAAATTATTATGATAAAAATTTTTTTTCTTTTGAAAGGACATTTTGAAAAAAGTAAACTGAAGAAAAGTTCCGTCCATTTTCACTTGAGCTGAGAGAAAATTGATAAAATCTTTCTGTTTTTATGCTCGTTTTGTAGAAAGAAAATGAATGTCTGAAATATGCTGCATTCGTTTCCTGAAAAGATTAAAATCATCGCTAATTGCACTATTCATTTCTCTTTTGTTTTTTATTTTCAAAATTTAAACAGAAATTCACTAAAACAATTTCAGATCTCTTACTCTTGTAATGTGATTATTGCTAAGTAAAAATTCGTTGCATATAGATTCGAATTTTTCAAATCTATTTTTGATCGTGTTGCACTTTTTCTACTATTTCCCACAAGCGCATTTAATGCATGCAGTGCAGAATGCAACTGTGCAAAATGCAAGTCATTGAAAAAGATACATTTTATATTTTCAACTAAAAATTTATTTTATATGTATATTAATTATAGCACGAGCATGCCGTGGCTATAATTTTTATCGCCGCTGCCAAAAGAAGTATGCAACACATTTAGGAAGGTTGGAGTGTCGATACGCTAGATGTTCCGTTTGCATTACGGAACACTTACATCCTGGTTGCCCCTTCTGTCACGCCGATAGTTAGTATTCATCTTATAGCCTTTTCCTATATATACAAGAAATGAAAGTAATAAAATTTTTTGACTTTTAAAAATTATCAAATTTTGTTAAAATCCCGATTTAAAATAAGTTTTAAACTATTTTCTCTTCAATTAAATTTAAATTTCAAAATTTGGAGTAATTTTTGTTACAGAATCGGTATTTTGTCCAGCCGTCGAAACATGTTCTTGTCCTTGGAAAGCTGGCTATGGTATCTGGGATTCCTGTAGGAGGCAGATCAATAGTCGTTGCTACGGTATTTCAAAATCATAATAATTTCTATTTAAATATCCAATTTTAGACTTTTCTGCTTTAAATGCCTAATGTGGACTGAATGTTTGAAATTGAAAATTCAATAACACTTTTCAATTTCATCACTGGAAACCTTTCCATCTGAGGAAAACAAAAATTGTTTGCAGATATTAACGCGACAAAATCAAAAAAGAGCAAAACGAAACATCTGAAAAAAAATCGCTTCAGTTGACAAATAGACATTAAAGCATTTCAATTCTCCAATTATAATCCATTCCGAATCTATCATAACTTTTTTAAGGAATGCTTTGGACAATTCTTGTTATCCGAAAGAATGAGAAAAGTGTTATCTATTGATTTATTCGCAAATTTTTCAGAAAATTCCAAAAAAAAAACATGTGAATGTTTTTGATGTCTGACGAAAACATCCTTACACAGTTATGAGTAAATAACTTCGATCTGCATAAAAATAACTTCAAATTTATGCAATTTTTTTGCTTGAAACGATATAATAAATGACATATATGCTGTTAATTTATATGACAACACAAAACAAAGGGTGGCAATATCACCAACACAATATATGATTTATCAGCTTCGACACCGCGGGAGATGAATGCACGGGATAGGTGAAAAGCCATATCGAGAATCAAATGCTTTCAACACAACTGGAAATGGATTAAAATTCGTTTCCAAAAAAAAAAAAAAAAACTTAGCTAAAACTTCAATTGCTGTCTTTTTTTCAAAGAAAAAAAGTGCTTCCTTAAGTTTCTAAATTTTCGGGTAAAAATTTCAGAATTTTTACAAAACTTAATCTTTCCATTATTATCAATTATGATCAGTTGCACCAATATTCACACCTTATCCTACTGATAAACTCTCAACTGGCTTATTTGCTGAATTAATCATTTACATCTTTAGAATTAAAAAACTTCACTTTGGTTTTGATGCAAAATAGAAATTGCTGCTTGCCAGCTAATTTTATTATATATTACTTAGCTAACACCCAAGGTATTCTTTAAAGTAAATCCTGGCATACCTGCACACACTTGTAACTCAGGATTATTTTTGACTGAACCATTTCTTTCCAAGTAAAACCATCTTATGAGAGAGTTACATTAACTGATATACGATGGAAGCTTTAGAGAACAACTGTGGAAAATTTCCCGGCCTGGATTTCGATCATGTTTGAATAAAGCTGTCAATGAATAAAGAGCTGCTCAGGATTATATTGGTCAGCTGGGCAACTGGGATCTTTTTGAGTGGGCCATTTCCTTCCAGGTAAAACTATCTTCTTTTATAAAGACAAAAGAAAGAGAAGTGATGTTATTAACGGTGTGTATTTCAATAAAGCACTTTGAGAAATGTTGTAAGTGAATATCCGATTTATGGATGCCTGTGGCTCCAGCTCTATTCTTATTAGTTCAGGCTCTTATTATTATATTTAATATATTGAGTGCATTGGCAGTGAGTATTGTTGAATATTTGAATCCTTGGCCTATGCTACTTATGGCTATACTATTATTCATTCCTATTTTTCCAACATTGTGCTCTAATCAGCACGAAGGCAAGCAAATAGATAATTACTTATCAGATTGTAAAATTGCAAACATAAAGAAATGATTTAAAATAGGCTAGAAAATTTGAAATTTTTTGGTTGGACACAATTAACCTGTGGCTTCATTGAATTGTTTTGGTCCAACTGTGTATTGCTGCTTCACATGCATTATCACTCTAACGATTGGCGTGCATACTTTACCATGTTTACCGTATCTTGGCAGGTTAAAATAAGCTTCTTACAAAAAGTGAATCTTTTGGGAAGAATCATTGCAGTAACATTTTTTCTTATTTCGACCTTCATATTCAATAAGTTTGATGTTTAGCAGTGCTAGCCATATTATTAAAGATGATTACTTCTTTTGTCTTGTAATAGTATTTTTATAACTGATCTGAGTCAAATTTTGAAAAACATTTCAAAGTTGCGCAAAAAATTAATTAGTATTTCATTTCATTTGATATTAATGTAAGGAAAATGCTCTTCAGTTCATATCAATAATTTTAATATCAGTGAAATGTCCATTACTAGAAAGAATAATAAATGGTCAAAGAAACCAAATAAGTGCTGAAAATAGTATTGCCATTGAACCTTGTAAGTTTATTAAAAAATAGCATTTGATTTTGATTTAAAGTACGAAATAAATGGCCACAAAAAATTTTTTGCTTATTAACACAAATAATTATGTAAATTAGTACCGTTTAAAATCATATTGCAGAAAAATGTGAATGAAATGAATAAAATACTTGAAATTAAATGATTTTGCAGCAAACTGTAATAATGAATAAAATACTTGAAAATTAATTGATTTGCGTATAGTAAAGCTTCGTCCAATTTTAAATTTCGAAAAGCAACGATCAGATAAAAGAAAAAAACGACGAAAAGAGAAGTAAAGGAAAAGATTTTGATTATGAAAATTAAAAAAAAGAATTACATAATGTTAAATTTTTGTAAAAATTTAAATGAATCAATTTTTTTATTTAAAATAAATGACGCCTCTTCTTCAGGTTGAAAAGAGAGAAATGCATTAAAGATCCTAAAGGATTTCCTAACAACTTAGCACAATGTAATTTGATCTCGAAAAGGGAAAGATTTGACTTTAAATAATTAATAATGATGACAATAATAATAATGGTAATAATAATAATAATAATAATAATAATAATAATAATAATAATTGGAAATCCCATGAAACTGCTAACTCCAGGAATTAATTGCTATACGAAATTAATTGGTATTAATTAGTCCTATTTTAAAGATGATTATTTATAGAATTAGTGATCAAAGATAGTTTCAACAGAAGAAATTGACTAGCGAACTGCAAAGGACGTTTCTGATTTAACTGTTAATGAAATATCAGATCTGAAAGCTACCAAAGAGCAAAATGACAAAGTATCATTATTTAGTTCTAGAATTTTTAATTAAAAAATAAAGGCCCAACTGCAGATCTAAAATTCGAAAATATTTTAACTAACTCTGTCGGAATAATTCATTCATTGATAATATTTACAGTAAAAAGAAAGTGAGGCCAGAAAAGAATGAAGTGACAATATCAATTTTGAAGAATTCGTTTCATTTTCAATCAATAAAAGAGTTAAATAGATACATATAATTAAGGGAAGATTTTACACGTTTGGCTGATATTACAAAAGATCATCGTGTTAACAAACAACTGGGCTGACATCACTACAATCAGTATTACCTTATACATGCAAATAATCTTGGCCCTGTAGTGACTGTGGTCGAAATCTCAATGTCTTCTTAATCTTAATATTAATTTGTTGTTATTTCGAAACTAAAAAGACTATCTTAAGACAGGTGATGGAATTGGAAAAGTTTTATTGAATATGCAGCAACCTTATTAAACTATGTACTATTATGCCCATTTCATAACAAATAAAAAATTTACATCCAATCACATCTGAGATGTTTTTTGCAGATAAAATAGTTGAAAATTATAAATAAGCTGATTTAAAACCATGAAAGTTGTAAAATATATAGTTCTTTAAATGGATAAAATTTTCTTAGTGCAATTTCAATTTCATGGTATGACTTTTTGTGAAACGAAGAATTTACAGCGATTTTCACTCCATACTATCATTTATAATTCAATAGATTATGAAGAATAAAGTTAATTAATCTTTTTTAAAAAAACAGAAAAACAAAAGAAAATTTTTTGAAACTCTTTTAAATCAAGGAAAATGTTACATTTTTCTAATTTGAGAAGTTACGGGAAAAAAATTGCAGGATTTTTTGTGCAATGCTTCAACGTTGTTGTCATTATCGAGTAAAACTATAAATGTCCTAGTCACTATTATAAAATTTTCTATTAAATTTCGGTTATTTTAAAAAGCCAGATTTCGTATCACAGAATGTAAACATTTAGTTTGAATCCTAAAAAGAGAAATTTGAAACTCATTGTCTGGAATTATATTTTGATGAATTCGAAATTGATGTAAAGTATAAAAAACTGAAAATAAAAGATTACAATTTTTTTATGCTGAATGCACTGCGATAAAGCTTCATGTTCACTGTGAACTGATTATTTGAATGAACTTTGACCCACATTTAGGAAGCATAGCCATAGATAAGTAACTTTGGCTATAAAAATCAAGTAACAGTGAATAAGGAATGACAACTCCATACAATAATCTTTACTCGTTTCCTGTATTTCTTGTCTTCACAAATCTTAGGAATTTGAGAAAAATAAGTTAAACGACTTTTATTTCTTAAGGCAGAGTATTGGTATTTCAATATTTGAAATTCTACTCCGAAAATAAATTTTCATATTGACATTTTTATTTGTCGAAATAGATTTATTTAGCAAAAATAATTTATAAAGACAATATTAGAAATGATGACACGAAGGATATGCGCAACATGTTCATCTTTTTCATTACTTTGGCACAACTTTTCCACATTTCATCGATGGGCGAAGAATCTAAGAGAAGCGGAAATTTATAATTAAAAATTGCGTGCTACGACAGTATAACAAAAAATAAGCAAATTTAAGCAAAATCAACTAGTAAGAATTGATTAGAAAGCTGATTTGATTTGTTCCGATGTAAAAACAATGGATAAAGTTTAAAACTTCGATAGATAAATGAGAACTTGAAATGTGCAAACAAGCGATTCGTCTACATTCATCATTGCAGCTGCATTATCAAACTGTCCGCAGTAATGAGGAGCAGAAAATATTGTTACCAATTTACGATTCGCAAAAAATTCATATCCATCCTGGGGAAATTAATTTAATCATTTCAATTTGGAATGAAGTGAGGAATTACTTAGGGAATTTTTAATAACTTGTTTACTACCAAACCATTAAAATTGGATAATTTGTAGATTTTGTCACTTAAAATTTTTTTCTACAGTAATTTGGAAAAAATTTCTATGGTTAAGTACTTGAACAACTTGATGAGCTCGAGCAATGAGATCAATATCAAGTTTTTGACACGTTTCCATGACAACATCAGGACCGAACGTGTAAGATAATCCGCGATTGTTTGCTTGCCATCCTTTTACAGAGGGGTCTGGATCTGACCTACAAAGTAATTTAAAACCACTTACCATTTTTCAGAGAGAAGCATGAATGAAGTGGCAAAAAAAAAAGCAAGCTAAGTTTTTCCTCTTCTGAAATTCAAGTTTTTTTGAAATTTATATATTGACTTAATTTTAATTGGTGAATTTTGACATTTGTTCCACTTCTGAAAATTACACATACAACACAATTTTTTACTATAAGGTTATGAAATCGTTATATTTTTCCATTACTAACTGCAAGTAATTATAGAATAGAAACCACAACAAATCGATGTGAATAGATGGATTTGGAGGATCGATAGGTCGAGTAATCTGTCGAAGCTGATCGATACTTTTCAGTTGTGGTGATAGACCACCATGCATACATAATATTTTACCAGCAACTAGGCCCGTAAATGGCATCGCGTTAAATACTTCCTGAAAAGATGCAATGAATTTTAAAGAAAAAAGTTGAAAAAAAAAAGGAGAATAAGGAATCGTTTAAAGTAAATCAGGCAAACTAGAATGAATGTTGATGTCGCTTACGATGTTGAAGAACGTGGAATGTAAATCTATGTTTAAAAACTAAACAAGGCACTAACATGAAATTGTTATGTCGAATGTAATACGCTCTTAACAAACAGATGAAAGTTACTGAATCAAGTTTATTTGAAATAAATTTTTTTAGGAAACCTGAAATGTTTGCCACAACCGTACACTTTGATAACGACGGTTACATTCTTCGAAGAAGCCATAGACTCGATTGATAACACTGCACTCGTGATTACCGCGGAGTAGGAAAAAATTCTCGGAATATTTTACCTTAAAAATATCAAAAGCTGTTTGCAAATGATGATGAAACAAGTTAAATTATGAAGCCAAAAATTTGTGTCAGAACATCATACAGCATCTATGAAAGCATTAATTGGATTAGACTGACTGGTAGAAGATACTTTGTAACAAAGAAGCAGAGATATAGTCTCAAGATTTTGTCTTCCACGATCAACGTAATCGCCGAGAAACAAATAATTAACAAAAGGTGGGAAGCCACCACGATCAAATAATCGAAGTAAATCTGTAATTAAATGAAATTCTATTTTAAGCAATTCTATTCTTCACTACAGGTAAAAATAAGTAGATGAGACCTCGTATTTACAACTGACGTACTATGAAGTAATCCCGGAGGAAGCGTTCCTGTCTGGGAAAAAATGATTATAAGTGTTTACCGATTAAAGTAAAGATAGGAAACTGGTAGTTATAAGAAAACAATCAGTGGATGATTAGGATTTCATTTGATCCGTATCCAGTAATTAAACTGAATTGGAACCGGAAATATTATTGACCTGCATATTGACCGTGTGTATCACCACAAATCCGGATTGGTGGATCAACCTCAATCAATGAATTTTGCGATAAGAAAACCTCCTTAGCTAGCGAGCACAAATGCATAATTTCTTGCTCTTTAACTGTTTTCGTCAAACTACATCCCGGGCTTCCAACATTCAATAATTTGCAAATTAATTCGTCCAAGTCCAACTTTTGAGCCATACTTAACATTTTGTAGAAATCAGTGTAACATTGTATCGAATAGTAATTCCAAGTTTTTTAATCAGTTTTCTAAATTTCCACTTATTTATATCATATACTGAATTCACTTTTCATTTTCAAATATTTGTCGATATTCACAAATTTCTGTCTTGAAAGACAAGTAGGAGATCCGAGGAAAAAGAAATGCGATGAAATAAAAGTTTAAAAATAATATTCTGAATTATTTGCAAAATTTTATCAGAACATTTATTTGTAAACTGAAAAAAAAATCGGGCTATTCAAAAATTTTGCTTGAAGTAAATGAAATGAATCTGTACCCGAAACAACAACTGCACGAAAGCTCACAAAAACCTGAAATGAAGAATAAATAATTTCATTCACTTTATACATTTTAAAATATATGCCTAGATTATGAAAGTCTTAAAATTGACGCGAAATCTTGGACAAGGCAAATATGTGAAATGAAAAATATTGAAAAAAATATAAGCGAACCACGAATCATGAAAGGTTGAATAAATGAAAAAATTCAGTTCCATATTTTAATAGCTCAGTTTTCTCAAACACATTTCAGTATTTCAAAAGGTTTAATCTTCTTTGATCATGTTTTTTTAGAATATTTAAAACTTTAAAATATTACAGTGCAATAAGTAAGTTCACTTTCGTAAAATTTTTTTTTTTTGAAATGAGAAGCTATCTCTATATAAAGATTAATTCTTTCAAAGAAACCTCCACATGAAGTTGTAACTCATTCATAGAAGTAACAAAATATCCTGTACCACTAATGCTATTTGCATTGTTGATTTCACTGCTTGAAATGTGCGGATATTCGAAAACTTGCTGGATTTCTTTCATGAAAATTATATTTGCTTTAATATCACGTCTTCCACTGACCATCTCTTCATTACAATGGATCTCATATAAATTAATGCATTCAGGATTTTTTGTCCTGTCACTGATGAACTGTTTTACTGCATACACATCATTTAATTAAGGTTCTTGGTATCTCTTCAGTAATCAAACACTATAGTGCCGTTAAGACAGAAATAAAAAGTCATTAACAATCAAGATTCCAAAGTAACAATGATTGCTTGACAATTTTGGAGTTTGACCAATAAGAAATAATTAAGCTACTCCTCCTCAGGAGAATAATTATCGAAGATTATTTTATTAATTAATAGTTCAAATAAGAATTTACAAAATTTTCAGAATAGATTCAAGGAGGATTTTTCCCTCAATTCATCGACTTTTTTTATTCATCACTTTATTCCTACACATAGACTGTGTGACATGAACAATCAGTTTAAAACTGTGCTTGATAAATGTAAGTTCCATACTTTAATCATGATAAATTCACGAGTAAATTTCAATTCCAACAAATCGACAACTAAATAACCTTCTCATTGACACATCCAACACCGCTCAGGAACAGAATCTATTAGCAATTGTCTTAATAACTCGTAGCACAATTGCATCTCATATATCTGTTGCATGCTACATCGAATGATATGAAATGGGTAGTAATATAATAGTTGTGACCAGGATCGGGTTTCTATTTTGTAAGATTTGGTGAGAAGGAGGGTCACATGAAATTTTCAGTTTTTTAAGAGTTAACAAGAGGTAAGATCAAGTGAGAAGAGAAAGTACTGGTTAGGTTTTGGATTAGCTTCTATAAACTATTTAAGGAAAATTCCATGTCATATAGCAATGGCATCTTCTATTATTATCTACGTTTTGTTTAGGAATTCATCTAGCATAATTGTTATTGAGGATCTGATGGTAAAAATTTCGTCAATCACTTCCATTTATGGTTTGTTTGGTTGGAGGATTCAGAGCTCATCACTGGCAATCAGATTAAGTTTTTGCGTCAAAAATCGTCAATACTGCATTGTTCGTTTATCTTTCAAATCTGGTTCTGTTTGTAAGTAAAGAAGATGATATCAGCATATTCGTTTTTATTTTACTGGTTGTTTATCCTTGAAGATTATGTAGTGTAGTAAGATCCTATTCCGACATAATTTAGAGCGGATGCTGTAATTTATTTAGGTGAAAAAATCCGATAGAACATTTCACTGAATTGATATGGTAAGGAAGAAAATTTTCGAGCAGTGAATGAATAATTTCAAATAAGCAAATTTATTCATCTGTTTCAGAAAAGCGAAGTTGCTGTGACGATACCCCGTGCTCTACGACCTTCACCTCGCTTGATTGCGAAATCTGAAAACAATAACATTTTTTTACGCCTTTTATTGGAATTAGAATTGCTGTATGGAGTTGCTAAAGCAAGGTTGCCGACGTATTTCACAGATAGTGATTGGGTGAAATATATGCAAATGACTAGTATTGTCGAAAGATGCTGCTACTTGCATCAGCTTTATGAAAGCAGAAAAGAAATTGAAGGAAAACATGAGATGAAGGTATATTTATTAAAGAAAATAGTGGACTGGTGTAAAGGATTCGGGATATTAGCAACTTCAATACTTTCCTCATCTTCTTCAAGATCTATATTTTTTCTTATATATTTAGCAGTGGTGACGCCAGGATATTCCTGGCTATAAATCCCGTGCACCATGAAAATAATAATATGCTTGTCTTACTTTGTCGTGAGTATTTTATACTTTATTTTTCAGATGCATCGAGAAATGGAAACTGCTCATAATGGAGGCTTTCCTATCAGTACTCTTTATTATTTCGAAAGAGAAGATTTCAGAAGTACTTTAGTAAAATAATTTCACATAGCTTCAAACGAATTTCATCTCTCTTTAGGTTATTAAAACCATACCGTTCTCAGCATTGCAACATTTGCTTGAGCAGACTAGCAGACTGACACTTGAATGTAGACATAAATTTATTCCGAAAATTTGTGTGGGTAAGAAAATATCAAAAATGGATCTATTTTTATTGGAGTATAAGTGGGGTTTCTATACAACAGCTGCCAAAAAAAGCTGTTATTATGCTAAATCTTCAAAGCTAATGTATTTTGAAGGGTTTGCTTACCAAGTATTCGGTTGTCGATTATTAGCTGCCTGGCGCTGTAGAGATTCATTCCCGCCATTGCTAGTTGATTGCCGTTATCTAGCCGATTTGAATCATTCGACACAAAGAATTTTAGTAAAGTATTCATTACGTTTTATATGAAATTTAAAATAATTGAGCTTAGATAACTTCTCCAAATACTATATCAATAGTTTGTCTGCTTGTTAACTTTCTCCTGCTGAAGAATGCTCTGTTAATTTTGGAATTTTTCTCGTTTTATAATATAAGCAGTAAAAACTTTCTTCCTTAATTTTACTCTTGATAACTACTTTGATACATTTTCCAATATCATCATTATAAAAGTACCCAGTAAGTCAATCATAAGAAAGATGTGACATTTTGTTGAATTAACGAAAATTGTTCATTAAATGATGGTTTGTGATGATAAAACGTAGATTTTCAAACTACACTCTATGTGACCGATTTAAGGCAGATGAAAGATCTGGTACTTGACAACAGCTTGCAGCGAAATCCGTTTCCAATCATTTTTGTAAATTATCATACTACAATCAACATCGCTGAAGAGATTGTGAAGTAAGTTTCAAATGTTGTCTTTTTTTTTTTTTTTTTTGTAACTTGTATAAATAATGTAGTCGATAGTACTCATAATAGGATATAAATTTAAATGATTATTTAATAATTTCAACGAAAATGGACTCAGTAAACAGAAAAAATTTTCAACCGTAAATAACCGAAGGAAAAATTCTTTAAGAAACATGAATTTAACCAAATTGTGTTGATGTTAAGTTCATGGCTTCGGAAGCGTTGCTTGTCAAAATATCGCCCATCCACTGCTAATGGAAGTGAAGGAAGGGCCGAAATACTTTCCGACCAGAAAAGTAACGAAAGGACGCAAAATAGTATTTCTGCCCCATTTGTGCCTGTTGTTACATCAGCCACAGTTCGTGAATGTCTTGGCTGCACCAATCCTGGTTTGATTTAGCGTTTAACGTATCGTATTTTTATCTTTTCTGTGGATTTGAATTATATCGAATTTTATATATGTTAGTCTCTCGCCTCTTTCCATGAGCATAGCCTCTAAATGGACTGCTACTTTTGTTTGCACTTTTTAAAGGATCTTTAGGAAATTATTTTTCATGAAAATCAAAACTAATATTTTTCCAAAATGTAGCTTTAGTTTTGGGTCCAGTTCAAATCCTACTGACCATTATTAGCTATCTAATACCTATACCAAGGCATTTATTTTCAGAGGAAATTGCTTATGTTAACCCGCGAGCTACAGAATATTTACCACTTCCACTTTCGAAATATAAAGCATTCGTATTGTGCACCACTCCCGACAATAGATTATTGAATTCTGCGTTTCAGGCGGCCAGGATTGAGCAATTGAATTCTTATAAACTGCCTACGACTAAATTTTTAAAGTAAACAGGACTCACTTACAGTAGCGTAGTACCACTTAGCGACACTCTTCTGATGTCAGAGTTCATAACCGCTCTGATCTTTTCCAACAAATTCAGAAATGGAAATATTTACAGTCTGGGGCAAACAGCGGTTACGATGCCTCTACGGATTACAGCAAACATAATTCGGGACGTCTACGCAAATGACTGCGACTGGAGGGTAGCATTCGAGAAGCATATACCTTACTTCAATATCTTGGCCAGTGATATGTATCGAAACCACGGCAGCGACAAAGATACCCTCCAAGTACCTCCTTTATTTATATTTCAGCATATTTCACCAGGATGAAGTTCTTGGAGCCAAACTTCAACTCAGATATTAAGTTATGAGACACAGTGGTTTATGTTAACAAGTAAATAATAACATATCCATTTTTTCTCTTAAGCGTTTGATTAAATAGCTGCCGATCAGAATCTAATGATATTGAATACATTTTCAATACTTTTATTTACGGTTTATTAACTTACTACTTTTAGGTTATAGGACAGTGGCTGTCCAATGCTGAGCGAAGAGGGAAACGAGGACGAAAATTCTTTCATGCATATAGTCGGGAAGAACGAAGAGAAGCACAGGCAGTGCTTGCAAATCAGAATCTGTCGAAAGAGTTGGGTTAAAATTGATCAATAGTCATTCACATACAAAGTATGAATATTGAAACTACGAGAACAATGATATCTTAGGAGATTAAAGTAGTAAAGAAAATATGAAATGAGAAGATAAAACCATTATAAAAACAAAGTACTTTCGTAGGTGAAAAACTCATCATCTGTATTAATTCGTCAAAAATCAAAAACCCTTCATCTAACTCCTTTCCCACAATATTTTTTTTTGACAAATATCATGAGTTCATCTTTTATTGCTCAGTTTCCATGATAAGATAAAAGTGAACTACGAAAAATAATCATAAAATCAAGTACGAAAATAATCATAAAATCAAACAATTTAAATTTGCTAAAATGATTTATTGCTTTTAATCTTTTGAATTATCGAGATTTTTATCGATCGGCAACTCCTAACCCAGCATTTCATTGCTATACAACTTCATTAGAATCCCGAAACCATATTTTTTTTTAAATTCACTGCTTTATTTATAAGGATTGTTTTCTAGATGAAATATTATTAGCACAAAAAGCTCATTTTACTTCTTATCAACTACACAGAAAACTTCGCCCTTTTTTATTACATGAAATGAAACAGGTTTGTAGAGGATTTGTAAGAAGTTTGTATGTGGTTTGCATGTGGCTTGTACGAAAGTGACTGAAATCATTCGGTTAACGTTTCCAATCATTTTGAGCGACAAAAATAGTAGGGATATTATTTAACCTAATCATGAATTATGATGTATAAATTCATTACATCGTTATTTTTTATATTTAGTTCAACTTGGTTGCTCAGTTTGAAAATTGGTAAAAAATGTTCGTGACATCAATGAAGACTGTGGATGGACAAAGCGTTGTCTACTATCACTATGCGATGATAAAAGAAAATATTCATGAATAGCAAAACAGAGTACAGACAGTAAGATTACTGTGAAAGAGAGAAGTAGATGGCATGCAATATTTTTGAAAATCCAATTATTCCTATGAAATTCTGAGCAAATCTATTAGATCAGCCAGTGTAAGATGATATGCCCAAGTGATTTCTTGAAATTTCAAATTGGAAATTTTGACGCATGGCACTTCATCAAATCGTTGTTCAAAATTGGAAGTGTTATCAAGCCTTGCATTGGAGCTACCACTAAAACGATTATGGAAAAGTGACGAGTAAGGAGATTATATGATCTATCCAAGGCAGTGTCTGAGCAAGATAAAGTCCCAACATTTTTTCTTGACTTATTATAATTTGTTTGGTAGCTAGTAAAGCATTAACAGGTGAGTTTTTCCACTTTTATTTACTAACTACAAAAAAGGGAGTGCAAAATTTTCTATAAATCTAGCAATTTTCATTTAGAAAGTGTGTTTAACAAATAGCGTATTATTCCATTTGTTGGTTACAAATGTAGCGGAACCTTTCGGTAGTACGCCAACTTTTTGTGCTAAATCAGCAAGTCGATTTGCTTGCGGAGTTTTCTGTTCATCATCAATCGTCTGCAAAATGGTTGGTCATGTTAAAAACAACTTATGGAAGAAAGCAAGTTTCACAAAAAAAATTATGTTAGATAATGCTAATCCTCTAATCAGCAAAACAAGTCAGCCCATATTAACATAGGCGTATTTGAAAATGGTCAAAAAAATTATTCCAAATGAGTAATCTTGTAATGCTCGAGAACATACTCTGCGTGTAACCGCTCGATATACAAGCCCATCTTCACCAACGTAAAATATTGTAAGACCATCGTACCATTTCAACTTAAACATGCAGTTTGAACTCTTGGAGAAATCTCACAATTTCACTACTGCACAAAAATACTGCAAAACAAACTACGAAAATAATCATAAAATCAAGGGAATACCCTCTTGATACGATAATCATATCTGAACAACATAGGATTCAACAGCGATCGTATCAATGAGATATGCTTTATACGCCACCTTAATCGTACTGTTCCATCTTCTGAGATCGGTAATATATTCAAAACCTAAAACATCATCGAGAAAAAGAAGTTTTCATTCCATTAACTATTCACAAAGAGCAGCCTTAAAAATACAAACAAAACAACCAGAAAAATAGGCTTACTTCCATTTCTATGTGAGGAAAGCAAAATAGACATATTACACTAATCGAGCCGAAATAAATCATGAGTTTGTCTCGACCCCTAAAAAATCAAATCACACACTGCAATAAATGCAATTGGCTGGTCCTGTTACTGGAATAATTGGACAGCGAACACAACTGGTGGTGAACTAACTCAAAATTCCAGTATCAGTTTAATCCTCTGCTAACATTTAGTGGATTAGATTAATTCAAAAGCATTCATGAACAAGGAAAAGAGCTCAAGAAACGAAACTGAAAATTTCAAATCTCAACTCAACAAGAAATAATATGTAAAAATGACCACTACTAACATCATTCTGGCTTAGAAACTTTCAAAATCACGCCAAAATTCCCCACCAAACATTGGTACTGCATCATCTCTACGAAAAATAACAAGATTTTATCACAATAAAATAACTCACGTAATAGTAATCTGAAAAATCTCATCTTTATACAACACATCCGGCCTGTAAAATGTATAATCTGGCCGTTCCCGAAAGAAATGTGGAGCCTGAAATGCAACATCTAATATTTTTTATGTAATTATGTGTTATGTCTTCGCAGCCGAACATAAGTGATACAACAATACTATCTGCCTCAAAAAAGATGATGGAGCTGAGAAGTGCTCAAAGCTCCAAACAGTAAATTCAGACCATGTTAGAATCATTTGTTGATGAGAATAACGGCGATTTACTACACTTCATAATCCAAGATGTCCAAGCTTTCAAACTGCGCAAAAGCTCTTCCGCATCTCTTCCACTACTATATACATGTGAAACTAAAAAGTAAGCAAAGAACATAAATTCTAAGTTGCTTCATAAATGTTATTCACTGTCGTCTTACGTAACAGTGAAAACTCCGGTCCGAAATCCGGTTCACACGAAACAAAATTAAGGAAAGTTGTTACCGTCATTTCTATCCTCTTTCGTACATGTTCCAACTGAAACATTTCTGGTCCTCTGTTACCTCTTCCGTTACTATACGCACGTGAAAATAAAAAATAGGCAGTAGAGGGAGCAGCAAGAGGGAACAAACATCGTAGTGTCGTTCGCATTTGTACTGTTGTTGCTAAAGCTGCAAAGGTAAGATATAAATTCATGAGAACGCGCATGGTATTAACCATATGCGAAAATTTACATGCTCTAAATTAAAAAACTGTAATCGAAAAAAAGAATAGGTAGGAATAAGTACGCGATCCAGAAAGTCAGTACTCCATAATGCAGCAACTTTATCCCTGACATCTCGGAAATAGCAGTGTTTTTTGCAAATAATTCCAATTCAGTGATTTATATATGGAATCAAAACTTAAGATGATCAAAAAGGATCAACCGATCGATCGGAGAAATGACACCTTTAGTAGAACAGCGAATAGTAGAAGTTAGAAAAATTGAGCAAAGCACAAAAATCAGTAGTAGTTACCAATAATAAATAAATAAAAAGTAATGATAATTGAGAAGTCACGACAGAATGAAAATTAAGCAACATGCACAAAATTATTTTTTCCGTAGAGGAAAGAACTGATGTTTCTCTTCAGGAACCTGATAGCAAAAAAATGAAAGAGAATTTCAAAAAAAAGGCTGTATGGCAGAAATCAACATCCCATGCAGGGACAGTTCATTGCTGACCTTCGCCGTTTTCAGTTTTCGAAGCTTCTTTTAATTTTGATAGGGAAGATGCATCGTTCTGATCATCTCGAGTTACCTTTAAAAAATTGAATTAAATTATAAATCATTTCTAAAATCCATCTCGGTAACAATCAAGAAAACAGATATTGAAATAACAGAAAAGAGATATCAGAAAATGTTTGCCTAGCAGTAAAATTTCAAAATTATGTATAAGTCCCAAAAAACGAGTTCTCAGAGTTCAAGAAACTATTAAACTTTACAACCAACTTACCGGTCGATTTTTAATCTTGTAAATACGTCCATCTTTATCAAGGTGAATATCTAGCGCTCCTTCAACGATATCTGTTTGCTATAAAAAAAGTTTCACTAAATCATAATAAATTAATAAGAATCAATACAACAAACATAAAGGTCTGGAAATAACATTCATTAGCAAGAATAAATTAATGGATAGATATGAACACCAAGTTCATACCTGATGATATAATTTAATGGTCATAATCCGCCAAAGAACTACAATGACATCACTGTTTTCGTAGATGCATGACCCCAATTTCTAAAAAACAACTACTCTTAACAGAAACAAAAAATTCTTGACAAAAAATGCTTTATAATTACAAATATAGTGCAAATCATGTGCTCGCAAAAGGGATTTCGAATTTCAGAAAAGTAAACTATACCTCAAACTTACTGCTCGATTGCATCAAACTGAAGTATAATTTGGAGAGTGAAATACGTCTTATAAATTTATCTATGCCTCTGTAAATACAGAAATTAATTGAAGGTTCATATCATCTCAATAAAAATTCGGCAGAATAATCACACTTATATATATATTTGAAGTTGCTTCCCAAAGTTGGCTTAAAAGAATGAATAAAAGGATTGGCCAGGAAATTATGTCTTAAGAACATTTAAGGATCTTGATAGTGTTACGAAATAGAGTCGGACAGCATAAAACGTTAGCAAATTTCGGCATGAAATGTTGAAACCTCTAAATAAAATTTAAACTATGAAAAAAAAAAAAAAAAACAAAAACAAAAGATACGTGGTGTGTTGATTAAAAATTGAATCGCTGTAAACAACATCTTTGGTACACAATTTCATAAATTTTAAAAACTGCTTTCGATTGCTCAAAAATCCCGGCACCTAAAGCATATTCAGTTTGCACTACTTCAATCCATGTTTCTACGAAATGCAACTCAAACATGTTAACGAATAATATTAAGATTTGTTCACCTATCATAATGTACAAACAGAGAAGTTTCGAATTTATTTTTACTTTGTTCAAATTCCAGTGAATTTTCAAAGTGACCATATGGAAGATGAACGTGAAGATAACATTAACCAAAAGAAAAGACGCCGAAAAGATGCAATCAAAATCAAATTTGAAATTCGTGAAACTAAAAATGACAAGGAACTAATAACTGAAATTAACATTTTAAGATGAACGCACCAACGTATCGGTAAGGAAATCCACATAAAATAATTGCTCTTTGGTCGGCAACTCTTCGTTAGTAATCCTGACACCTGCTGAAGTTGAAGGATTTTTACTAAAAGTGTCGTGCGCATATCGGACTGAGTCCAAAAAAGATGATGTTGATCTTCGACATGGCCGGTAGCAAGAAGATTCCTGCAACAATGTATTATTAGGAAGACTTTTTGTGCAGTACAAAATACTTCTTTCACCATTAAAATTGAAAAATATTAATATACTAGAAATACTAGGAAGTTGCGAATATGAAATCAAAGTCGATCAGTTAGAACTTTCTTAGTAAACGAAAACTCCTTTTTTCGAAATTTATTTGCTCTAATATATTACCCAACAAAAGCATGACAATAGTACTGTGGGTACTGATACCAACGAACAACTTCGTCGAAAAACAATGACTGATCGTGGATACACAAACCGTTTCCACAGCATTGTTGCAAAATCTTCTTTTTTCTAAAAAACTTTTTTAGGAAAAGCATGTGTTTGAATCAATGATGCCTAAACAGTGATGATGAATGGAATAAATGGTTGCTCTTTGATAGCAGTACTCACAGCAATACTTCATCCTACTAAGCAACTTTACCCCAAATACTGAAGGACCATCCAAATTCCCCTAAACCTTCAGAGAAACACAACAACAATTTAAAACAGCAACCATCTCTCCCTCGCCCTCCGCTCCCATGCACCTATCATCATTCACCGGTACTCGCCACCAAAGCAGCAGGAATCAAAGGAGCCCTGAATGAAATTATGGGGATCTCTCTGTTTGTAACCATTTGCAACATTCTGAAGGAAAAAGTGAATGATAAATGGAGTAAAATTATTTGCATATTCTTGTGAAAATTACTTTATTTTTTCCATTTTTTTTCATATTTTATTGTTAAGAGTATCATTCTAATTACTATTTAATTAATTTCATTTTGCAAAGTTGAGTTAATATTTGAAAATTCCTTGTATAGCTTATAACTAAATTACTCATTAATATTTTATAAAGCTTACAGTCAAATGCCTAAATCAATTACGTATGCTTTATTTATTGCATAGTTATTCTCATATAGAATTACAAGAAATGGTGAAGAAAAAAGTTGTTCTAAATTTTGTTTCCAGTAACTGCTGATTTCTTGAAAAAAAAAAAAAAAAACGCAATGTTTCTTTTTTCCATCCTCCTTTTTTCAATGACCCGATTCAATTTACGCTAAAGAAATTGGTGTTATTGGATTTTTTTTTTCTTTCCGATACTTTAATGTAAACATAATTCACTGTTTTTTGATGATTGTTTTTTATACATCACTAAATAAACATTGTAATTAAAATAGATATTTTAGAAAAGTCTCTTTTTATCAAGTGAAACAGGGTCGAATTCACCTTCAAATTCCATTGGAAACATCTGCTGCAAGTTGTTATCACCAATGACAGAAAGAAGAGATAAATTTGTTAGAAAAGATAACAGTCAATTGAAACAATGCATTTCCTTCAGATATTTCAAATGTCTTTTCAACGAAAACATTACTTTTACATCGAATGTCAACTACCAAAAGTAGCTGGTATAGAGAATATGTGACAACAATAATCGAAAAGGATTTGTACAATGTTTCTGCGATTGATTTCAGTACTGTCTTTTGTATCGGAATTTTTTTCAGATGTATAGTAGGAATTGTAGTAAAAAATCAATGTGGAAAGAAGTAAATCACAATGAGTAGATATGACAGAAAAAGCAGAGCAAAATGAACGGTTAGTGACCACACCGATATTTTTATATGTCTTAATGAAAACTTTTATTTTGTATAACAACTATTGGAAGTATGATATTAGGAAGGAAATTTGCATCGCTTTTTTTCTTCCTTATTTCGATGCAATGTTTTCACATACTTCAAATCAACTTTAAAAGCTTTGTCATAGTTTCTATATTTCTATTGCACAAGAATAATGAAAATAAATGCGGTAATGATTCACATTAACAAATATCGTGTATTTTGCATCAACACTTCGCACTTCATTCAATTCAAGAACTTTTTCAAAATACCGAAGATCATTATGACTTAAAAAAGCACTTACCAAACTGTTTAATTAAATCCACAAAATTCTAATTCGAAAAGTTGTAGCCTTTTAAGGAATAACTTTTAAGGATGAACAGGAATAAACAACATTTTCATTTTCCTATTGCAATTATTTTACAAATATTCGGGATATATTTGTTTGGGATATATTTTGAACAGTTCCTAATTTAACTAAATAAAAGAAGTCAATGAAGAATTTTATCAACTATGCTTGTTAGAACCTTATAGGCATTCAAAACTGGTATAATCAAAATGTATTGAAAGTTATCTTTGAATTCGTATGTAATTAATTTTCGCCAATTTTTTGTTGAATTTAACCTAATTTATTTGTGGAACATTTAAACGTATACTAGAATCGGAGAAATCATTCCAATTAGGGTCATTTCGTGGGTTTATATCATGAGCAATGATTGTTTTAAAGATTGTTGGTTCGACTTCAAATTATTTATTATTATTATTATTATTTATCATTATTATTATTACTATTATTATCATTATTATTACTAATTACTATTATCATTAGTTTTTTTCATTTTACTAGTAAGAAAATCAACCCTTTGGTAACTCTAAAGTATGCGTAAAGTTTAATTAACTATTCTTCTTCAATAAGCAATAGAAAGATTTAGTAACAGCTGAATGTTTATAATATTAAAATAATTTAACACTCGATATTAACAAAAATGTTTAAACTCAGTAAGAAATTGTTTCTTGTTCGCTTCAATTTATCTGTTACAGAATTCTGGTGCTGTTGAAAAATCACACGATAAATGATCATTTCATTAGCAAACTCAATTTAAAAAAAAAAACTGAAAAAAGAACTCATTATTTGTAATATAGGAGTAATTGCAGGATGTGGTACTCACTGGCAACCATAATAACCCTGGCTAATTACATTCTGTCAATAACATCATGTAAAATTAAGGTTAAAATGCAGTCGAAAACGGATAAACCATTTCAAATTCAAATTTATGTGCCGGCAATTAAAATGAAAACCGAACGAGTAATATTTACAAATAGAGATGAAATTCGTACCGCTCTAGTTTGTTTTTAATTTCTTTGTCTAATTCATCTATAATAATTTTTAATCTTTTGAAATCAATGATGCAATATTTTTTCACAGCCACGGTTTTTTAAAGAATTATTAATTCCTTCATCATAATTCTATGCAGTCAAAAATTGTTTTCAAATAATTTTCAATTTTTTAGAATACAGTCAATTTAGTTAGTGCGACAAAATAAAAGTGATTTGGTTATAAGTTAAATTGAAACGTTTCATAAACTGAAATAGTATGCAATGCTGAAAAAGTTTTTAATTGAACCGTATTTGATTGATAAAAGTGATAAAACAGTTAATCTTATGAATTTATTTGTGTAAGACAGCATTACTTTTTTTATATATGTTTAATTAGCTTTTATGTTTCACATCAATACAATTCAAAAATTCATAGCTTTTTTTGGGAAGTTAGAATTCATACAATAAAATATGAAGTTATATTTGAAATCTTCTTCAGATCAAAGGTGAAAAATGTGATGAGAAACACTGGATCATTAAAACGTGGAAGAAAATAGATAATAAATGGATTCCAGCGAAAGAAACAAAGGCAAAATTTGAAGGACTTGGTTCATTCGGGATATCTGTCAAAGATGACCTGTTACCTCAAATAACGAACCGTTTTGCTGTTGCATGTTCAGAAGGCAATTGCTAACCTTATACCTTACATTGTTGAATTTGAAATTAAATTTGAAACTAAAACAATGAAAAGAACAAATGGACTGTTTACCATATGAGAATTATATTTCGCATAACTCTGCTCATTTTTCACACAACGCATTATACTGCTTTTGCTAAAGTGCTGGCAGATGGAGTTAAAAAAGATTTTATTTCATTTTGATGTTAATTTTAAAATTTAAGAATTTGTTTTATTATACTTGTTCATATTTACTTTGATATTTTCGTTAGATTGGCGCCTTCTGATGATAAAATAATTTTGCTATCAAAATTAATCCCAACTTATGAACTATGCTGTAAATACTATAGTTTAGTTTATATCCGGGTAGGTTTGAAATCACTTTCGTTATGGCATACGTTATGGCATCTCAAAATAAATCTTAAAAAAATGATATATCGATTCCTTGGAATGATGATAGCTAACTATGCAATTGAAATGACGTATGAAAAGGAAACAACGCTGCTAATTAATCAAAAATATATTTCTCATTTTTTATTGAGTAATTTTTGTTCGGGAATTTTTCTATTCTTTCAAAAAATTCTGATGTTTCGGAAAAGAATTATAAAATCCCCAAATCATAACGATGTCTTTCAGTTGGAATGGTGATGGACGATGACTGCACTAGGCTTTCGTAGTCCGAAATGCAGCTTGAACAAGGATTTTGCTGCTTATCTGGGTATTTCTCATAAAAAAAGAAAATCATTACTACCACTTCTGCTACCGCTATTATAGTGATGACAATTAGAGAAACGAATAGTTACTAAAATGAATGGAAGAGTAGTGTCCATAAATAAGTAATTCAAATCAATTTAATTTAAATCACAATTTAAATTAATTTAGCGGGGAATGAAAACTAAATTTTAGCGAGGGATGAAGTTCACATTTGCAATATTCTCGAAAGACTGGCAATATGCATTAGGTTACCTACAACTCGAATTTTTCACATGAAATTATAATGATGATACTATTTCAGCGGTGAAAGAAATTAATTACTTTCATCAACACGCATTATAAAGTGTGAAGCGCTAATTCTGCTAGGAACTTGAAACTTTTCTCGAAATTCAAATTTGAAAAAATCCAATCCAACAAATAAATATTTCTTGGTGAAAAAAAAAAAATTAGAAAAGCAACCGGAACATATAACCTGAATCAAAAGATGAACGCGATAACAGTGGGAAGCAAATCTTAAGTATAGCAGTTGTTAAACAAATACATAACTTTATAACTTATTAATGCTGTCTCGAACCTCCAAATCATTTATAACAAATGTGTTGCAAATGTTTGCACTCAAATGCTTTATTGCATAAACTATTATCGAATGTTCCCAATCTGGTACTTATCATATTGAATGTCCATCTCTCCTTTTTTATAGAATAAGTCGTTCAATTAATATAGTAACAAAGCTATTCAACTTATCGTGGAATCAAATAAGGTCGCATCAGTTATGCTTGAATCTACAAACGATAAGTGCTCAAATACACTCAACAAATCGCCATAGGAAAAAGAAGGGAAGAAAAATACGAATCAATCACATGGACTATTCCGAATGCTGAATGAAGGAAAGGAAGCGACTCTCAAAGTAGTTACTCAGTGAAAAAAAAAGCCCTACTAAACTTTACTGTCAATCTTTCTCCTTTGTCCTCTATCTACTTTTAATGATAATCCCAGACAATGATGACAATTCTGGAGCAGCTTCAATCAGCAGTCCATTCACAAGCAATTCCGGAAATTCAAAAATTGAACCACTTGTACTCATGTCTCAAAGGAAATGCCTTAAAAGCAACATCTGGATAAGAAATAGCACTGAAAGTTATATGATAGCTGCTCAAACCTCATAAGATGCAAACAATTCTCAGCGGATAAGTTTTCCGCCGTTTCAAGATGTATTGATTTTGTAGTAAAACATGTAAAAAGAGCGATCCATTTTTTAACTACTCTGGTATTTGCTTTCATTGAAAGATGACTCAAGTAGTCTAAACCAATTTGTTCGAAGGTTCTGAATCGTTTCACTCAGATTACGACAGATTTGACATTGCTGGCAACTTAAATGCTTTAGCGTTCCAATTTGTTCGAAGGTTACACCTACATAAATACGCTTCACCTCAGCTCTTCCTGTCAGCACCAAAAATTTGCGTGTTAAGTATGAAAACACAAACAACCTATTGTTATTGATTGAATGGTTGTCTGGTAGCAATCCCATCCTCGCAGCGAGATTAATGATATAAAGAAACAGTGTGATAGTTAAGAGAGTTGATGGAAATTTAATGGTTGCGTCTTGTAATGAGTTCGGTCTAAAGAACTGACAATTGAAGATATGAAAGGTAGTTTAATAAATAAGTCCGAAGTTGAAAGAATTAATGTAAAATTGGAAATCCTAGCTCACTCTCTTTGGCAAGAAATCTCTGAACAAGAGAAACTCAAAGAACAATTGGGAAGCGAATTCAACGAAACTGTTAGACCGATACAAGAACTTGAAAGCGTAATAACACATTGGAGATTAATAAACATTTGTATAAGTATTGTTACGATATCATTGTATTAACTGCTCTTAAATTGAAATTCGGATTATCCCAATCCCTATTCTGTTCTTCACATAAAAGAAATCCAAATTAAAAAACTATTATTGTTCTTCTTATGGAATCATCACGAACTTATAAATGAAGTACCAGTTACTAAACTTTTTGCTATATATCTGAAAATCTCTCAGTCGAACTTTAACATTAAAAATTTCTCCCCTTCCCCCTCTGGGAATGCGTGAATTTTTATATCGCGAAACTTCAACTAGAATAATAAATAAATTTAAGTAAAGATTAATCATTTAAATTATAAATAGTTGTTGTCGTGAAAGACGAAATATTTAAATTATTATACCCAAAACTAACAAATTCCTCTTATCTATTTCCTAAATCCAATTTACATTTGCAAAATTCTTCTCACACTTGATGATTCAATTTCCGAATATTTTTACATTTGTAATTCAGCTATGCCTCATACTAATCTATTTCCTCCTTTCACACACTAAAACTAATCTTGTTTTTTCATCCATGAGAAATTCTTCCATCTAATTTCCATTCGTTAAATCAGTCTTATATATAAACCAACCAATCCTTCTATAACCATCATTTACTTTATGTTTTGGGTGGTTTGGGATGCGTCTAATACTTTATAATTTCGTATTATTTCACCATTTTTATATTATTGCATTTATATAGTTTACGCGTTTGTTAAACGGTGTAGCATCCGTACGATATGTATAAAGCGCTATTATTTCCTTCATGTTAAATAAAGGTTTAATTACCCAAGTTTGAGGTTTCACGACAGTTATTGACGGTGCTGCAAACCACACGTCTGATTTTTGATTCCTTAATTTCTCATATGTTTCCGTTTGTTAATTTTGTATAACTAAAACGATATGTTTATTTCCCAATTTGGTCTTGTCATAATTCTTATACTGTAAACTTTGATCATAATGTTTTGTTGTAAACACATCCAATTCTCAACATATATATATATAGTCTTCCCATTCGAAATTTCCTGAACTCCAGAGTATTACATGAGAGCAGAGAATATATGAATACGAAATATATTCTATGAACTCTTTGCAATACAATGTTTAAACCTTAAACTCCCTGTTTTCAATCTCTTATGTTTAGGCTGTAATTCGTTCATATAATATATATCCGACATTAATAAACATGAGAAGTCCCTTATCAAAACCAATTTTTCGTAACTTCTTTTTCTTCCCAAAACAACTGACAACAACGCGAATTATCCCCGTTTTTTATTTTTACTGCTCTGATTATTGGTACTGAACGTCATATAAGAATAAGAAACCATTAATCTTACTGCTGTTTCATAAAACTTAGTGTACTCAACGTCAAGTTATTTGATTCTACGGCAAACTCAACAGCTTTGCTACTATGTAATTGAACGGTTTATTCTACAATTAAGGTAAGCCTTTAAAATTCTTTTGTTTTCTTGATCCATAACAAACCTTCCAAGACAAAAAAAAAAAAGTCCACGACAGCAATAAGTAAGATTGGATTCTGGACAGGATTTACCAACATAAAGATGGCCAGTTGCTAAATTAAGACAATTCTTGGGAAAATTCAAAGCAGAAGCCACAAGGTTTCGTGAAACTAATAAATTGCAGAGCCGAATAGGTAATGCTTTGCTCTGAATAATATTGGAAAGTTTAAGAAGTAGATCCAGAAGAATAGAAAAAGCGCACTATGTACAGAGCAATATTAGCCAATCAACCACTACTTTCTTTAATCTGCATATAGGAGTGGTTTACAACAAAGCTCATGATTATAGTGAGTAAAAAGCTATCTCTAGCGCTGATCTTTACTCTTCATACAGTACAAGTTGGACTTTAGCATATATCAATTTCCCCTAAAACTCTTAGATATTGCAAGTAAATTTGGATTAGAACAAAAGACGTAGTTGAACAAAAAATTGACAACTGTTAACACGTTATGTTAACAGCCAAGTCAGAGCTTGCTATCAGGCTGGAAGATCTTGGGAATAAAATCAGAAACAATTTTTAACAATAAACACTGAACATATTCTAACAAACTGTAAAATTCCAGACAATACGGACAAATATTGAATAACGGATCTCCTAATTAAACATTTATCTAAGGACTATTCAAATAAGACAATCTTTAATCAGATTTAATACAAATTCATTTCGATATATCATATTCGGCTTCCCTGGCATGAAGAGCCAATCTTTTATTACTGTGAAAGAACAAAAGATAATTGAAAGTAAGCTGCAGAAGAAATTTTAGCTTTGACTATAGCGGTACCACAAGTATATAACTGCAGAACGAATGTGAATTCAAAAAGATTAGTAGAACTAGAAGAGTTTGTGCCATTTGCAATAAAAACCATTGAATGTCAAAATTATTCTAGTTACAAACAAAGAATGGAACAACCGAAGAGAAATAATGCCTGTCCAAATTATCTTCAATTAGGATACAACTGCAATAAAAGGAAACGCGTTTCTCTTCATACTAAATATAAGGGATCGGCAAAGGTTATCAATCCAATAATAAGTGGCAAAGTGCAGTCTTTGCTGCAAAACTTAAGCGATTTCATAATATGTCGAAACAATTTGTTCAAATGTCTAAGATGGAAATCTCTAGGCTAAATACTCTTATTTTAATAGGGTCCTAAGACCAACGATCTTCATTTAAATTTGTCAGCTAAAAATGTCACTATGTTTAATAAGAGGTCTTCTTCTGAAACCAACGTTCCTTATATAAAAAGTAAAGTCCTTTACCTGGGCCGATTGAGGCAGTCTTTATGGACAACGAGCGACTTGTCTCAGTACTTCTGCTACACCGAATTTCTTGATTTCTCGACTCTTCTTTACAACGGAATTTGTTATACTGTAGTCGGCAATACATATATAGAAGATATTTCTGTTTTCAGCGATTCATTCCAGATACGAATCAAGAGACATATCTAGAAGTATCAGATGCTAACAGTTATTCAACTCTGCCTGAAACGTATTCTTCCAATCAAAAGATAACAAATTTCTCACAACACCCATTTTTTCTCATTAGATCTGTATAATATGAAAATTATAGGATAATTTATGTTAATCGCTCCCATTTTAGACACGTATACGTATTCTATGTAAACGCCGACAGCAGGAAGCTTCTACTCTCACATGTATTATAACCATTAATAAATTTATCAAAATATCCCGTATTATTGGACAATATCAACATCTGCATCAAAAAGATCAAGAAAGAGATCCCTTCTGAAAAGACCATTAATCGTTATTGTTGGATAACCGAAATAATTTTAGCAAACTTGATGATTAATAATAACTTATAAAAAATTTAAATGAAGGTTCGCAATGTTTCATATACTTAATAAATTCTCAGCTAATCTAAACATTCATCTAAATGTTACAAAATAATTTGAACTCGATGACATATGAACAACTCTATGGTTGGATTCCCAATATGCATTGCAAGAGCATTCTCGAATATTACTAACTTTTATAAAGAATCGAGCAAAAAAAATCAGGAAAGCATAAATTTCGTTTCGAGGACCAACATATCTCAGAGGGAGACAAATCGGTCATAAAAGTAATTACTACTCAAATTCCAATCCAAGAATTAAAACTTACTGATGAAAATCGCTTTATTAAATGATTAAGTGACTAAGAAAGACTACCTGGATTCTCAAATTCATAAAATTAACTATAAAACAAAACCCCCTATGCATATGCATATAACCAATTTCAATTAAGGAAAATCAACTCATAAGCGAAGATTACAAAGTTGAAGAATGGATTTTAATTAGACAAACTTAAGCGGATGACTCAACCGAGAAGAAAATAGATAAATCTCCATTACAATAAAGAAAATTTTTGGAGATCAAAGAGTCGATTAAAAAATTAGAGTTGAAATAAAGCAATCTACCAAAGCACTATCGAGTTGCAAAACTTCTTATACAACAAAAACATGAAGAATTATATAATGACGGAATTACCCATACTTTATCAAAAATTAGACATAAGTTCTAGCCACTAAAAAGGAATAGAACAGAAATCAAACGAGTTATAAACAATTTTATGACATATAAATGATGGACTTCAAAATGTTTAGACTACCAATCAATCGCTCCAAACTACTTGCAAAAGTTGGATTGGATTCTCATCGACCAAAGAAATATTTAAAAGTTAAAAATTTGAAATGACAAGAACAGCAATGAAATTACCAATTCGGTTGGTACCGCGCAAGTGTACTATTAGGCTTAAACTGACACCAGCTTATATCCAGATTATCTTGAACGTAGGACATAGGATAGAATACGAAAATACTTCCAATTAATCCTAACATCAATAACCATACCCAAAATTTCAGCAAACCAAGTCGACAACATAAATGCCATTGCAAACAATAAGCCCAAATAACACTAGTCCAAAACAGAAGTACATCAAGAAATACTGTGCATCTGAAATAGAAGATAAATTTCAAAAAAACGAAAAGAATAAGAAATCATCCATTCAATGTCTTCATCTGAAAAACATAAGATTTCGGAGAATGAAATCTCTGACAGTTATTAACACTAAAAGTGCTAAATCATTCAAGGTATAACACGTTTCGATGACTGATACGCTCACTAAATCTAAAATTTCTCAGTTCTCTATAAATCATAAACTGTCTCAGCTCAATTTAATCGAAAAGACTAGTCGAGAAAAAAAAAAAAAGATCTCTATTTCTTTAAAGTAAATAATCATCAACACCATTAACCTCCACAACATCATTAGATCCAGACTGTCCTTACGACCATACTTAAGCCAACTGAAATGAGCAGGAATAAAAGTTTTGCGAATATTACCAACAAGAATTGCAAATGAAGTCATCATCTGTAAAATTTGCAGAAGAAGTTCAACTGCGCTGGAAATCGTTTTTTGCCTGAAAATTTAATAATATATAATGAAGATATACTTTCTGCAAAAGAATTGTGCAGATGTTTATGTACAATTAGCAAAGATAAAAAATTAAACTGAGTACAGAAATCAGCGAAGAAAAAATGACGATGGTTAATAGCCAGTAGTAAGATCTCTTTTATTTGTGAAAATGGAAGTGAGAGATAGTCCATTCCACAAAAAAAGGAAGTGAAGGTTGGGTGTAGTTATTTACAAAACCTAATTTCATCGAAGCATTGATGAGAAACAAAGAAAAAGATAAATCACTACGATATCCCAAATTTTAGTAACATCTAAGATATCCAAAACTCGCTTGGATTCAGAAGTCCAAAATAAGCTAAACCAATGAGCTAAACCAAGGAATAATATCAGACATAAACAAAGCATAATAAAATGAAATCCAAGAATACAAAAAAGCAAAAATTCTTACCTCAATTCGTATTTCGCAATGACGGCTAATTCAGCTCGCTTTTGAGCTCGCAGCCGTTTCTTCAACATTCTCCGATCTCGTTTCTGACGCAAGAGAATTTCTTTCGCACCAATAAGGTCTCTTTTATTTGTGAAATCAGGAGTGAGAACATCCATTTCATCTGGAATAAAAATATATAATAAAAAAAATGGCGAAGTACGAAAAAAGATAGATCATCATGACATCCCAAATTTCAGTAAGTATTTCATTTCGCTCGGATTCAGAAACCCAGAATGCGCTAAAGCAATGAAAACAACATTAGACATAAACAAAAATCCAAATTACCTTTGATACCTGATGAGTCACGTCCATCTTGCATAAGTGGTAGATACCGACGTATTCGACTAGCTAGTCCTATACGACTTTCGGCATTCGATATATTACCTGTTGCACCATTCTCCATTTCTACAGCATCATCTAAGGAATGCCTTTCTATTCTAAAAATAAAAAATAAAAAAAATAAAAAAATGTGAAAATAAATTTAAAAAATCTAAAAATAATGCAAACATAACAAATTATGAATAAGAGTATCCGAGTTTCTACAATATCATTGACTGATTACGAATGATTTAGATTCGGCACAAAACTTAGCTCAAAATACTGAAGTTTATGAAATAATTTTGAGAATCGAGAAATATTAGAAAAAAATGAAATTGTTAAGCATGCTATAAACTGAATAATAAAATGTTTCACCTGCAGTGAACACAATATCCGCAATGCTTGCAACTTTTTAAAGGATTTAGGATCATGTTACGAATAACAAATTGATTTCTGCGACCGCATATGGGTACATGCGCACCAGCTTCTCGATTCTGTTCTTGTGAATTTGCTGCTTGTTTCTTCAGACGAGGAGGTGGTACGAGTACTTCTATATGGGCTAAACATCAATTACAAATAAATGTTTGATTAATTTTTCGAAAAATTTGAAATCCATATTTGGCAATATTTTTTAAAGCTAATTTATGCAACAATTAATGTTCTTAAAGGAATGAGGTGGAAAGAAGACGAGGAAATGGAAGATGCTATTGTTTTTATAAGCGTTGTGAGGAAAACCTATTATTATTTAGTTTTATATTACCCTCAATAATTTCAGTGCTTCGCTTCTAATATTTTTCGATTCTGAAAATTATTTAACTTACCGTCATATCATGGCCACATTACACCGGGCTGTGTCCAATAAACCACATCTAGACTGATAAATTAGATTTAAGTTAAACAAAGAAAAAATAAAGGATGAACATTATAATCACATTGTCTCAACATACTGGAAGATGATGGTATCGCTCTACTCAGGAATATCTGTTTCATGCATTTACATTCTTCATCTGGCATCACTCCAGCCAAATTCAATGCACTGTTAATTTCTATATTTTGAGAACTCAGTTCTTCCGGTTCCGTTCGTTCGCTAAACTTATTTCTTATAAAAACAATTTCAGTAGCTTTATAGATCAAAATACAACGCTACCCTTTTGATCCATCTTATATTATTAATAGTTCAAAATCGTATTTCCAAAGCGTGATGCAACAGAAAGTCTGAATTTTTTAAATCTTTGATCCAAGTAACTAGTGAAAATGCAATAGATCACCTTCCTCAACAATAATTAAAATGTTGAAATATTATAAAACACCAACATTTCCACAACATCGATGTCCTGATCATTATCATCTGAATCCTGCTCTTTTTGTTCTCCATCAGATATATTTGTTCCATTATTAGACTTTTGTTTTCTCTTCGATTTAATTTTTCCATATTCAAGCACATAAATTTCCTGAAGCAGTCTTGCTGGCTGAACAATGTCTGTGAAATCTGAATGTAATATTTGATTTGAACTTCTGAAAATTTTGAAAAATCAACTATAAAAAATATCATTATTGTCTAAAAACTTTTTGGAAAATCTTAATTCGAAATCAAAAAATTTCACCTTATACGTGCTATTCCAGTAAACAGTAATTCGTTTACGGATTAAATTGCACCAAACAATCAAATAATTCCTAGCTCGAAGTGGTTTAAAACATATGCACAGGATTAGATGCATCCAAAACCATAACAAATCATAGCTTTTCCATAAAACAAAATACACACAATTTACATATATAGACGTAAACCAATTGAAATGTGCCAAAAATGCCAAGGTAAAACGGTATCCGCACCAGAACAAAAAGCAATGCCAACGCATCCTTTTACTCTCAAGTACCAAACATATGATCCTTATGATAAATACATCCGTATATTCGTATTTGAAATAGTTCTTATGGTATGCATTTGTGCGCAAATATAAGGGAAGTCATTAGAGCGCGTCGATGCACAAACCTAAATATAGTGAACTGCACAAGTTAAATATAATCGCGTAATGAATAAATAATGAGCAATTTAGATTATAAGCTATAATGTCTAAATCAGTAACACCATACACAGTAATATAGAGTAATTATAAACGATACATAATTAATCATACTTGAGACAAAAAACCATTAACAAAGCAACAAGCAAATGTTTTTGATATATTTTATGATTCAGAGCTTTAATAAATTCATGAATGACTAAATCACACATTCATTACTTTCCAACATTTACTGTTCTCGGATTTAGCAAATTATTATTACTCAAACGTATATACGCACTTGAAAGTAATTTTATACAACTTCTCATTTTAATGTCACAGCAAATCTTATTTACTTAATTGTTAGTTATATGTCAATTATTTGTCAAATAAGATTTGACATGATATTAGAGTGAGAAACTGTATAAAATAACTTACTAATTATTCTAAGACACTTCTTCAACATCAACCCATCCAATAAACAAGCTCTCATGGTATAAGTGAAAATTAAAAACCTTGATCACCAAATACCAGATGAATTAAAAACACCCAAACACAGTCAACATATTTCTGTAGTCGGTGGCGAGACTGCTTCGAACACTCTTCTGAAGATGGAATGAACTATTCTGGGATGAAGTATGAATGATGTTATTATCCTCGTAGGAAACTTCTAGGGATTACAATTTTTCACGTACACTAACTGACGCAATGAGCACGTTTAACCCAGTCGATCTCTGGAAGCACTCTTTGTTAAATAGTAAAGTATCATCTGCGGGATCTGACGTCAAGTAAGTAATATTCTACTACGTTTTCATTATATTAATAGGTATGGGTGCTTAATGTGGATGACCCATCACTTCACGTGATTTTATACTCATGAAAGCATTTTCGTCTTTCTTACTCGGGAAAAATAGGGAATGAAATGTGAAATTAGACGAATATCGATATATCGATGACAGTTGTAAACAAATGCTTTCATGAGTTTAATGTGATAAGGAATTGAACAAATGGCTAGTTTACTAATCCATTTTCGACTGGTCATTTTCAGTACAACGCCATTGTTCCTTACGTCGCCTATAATTTCATCGTTTTCGGGTGATGCAAACTATTTGCGAAAAGTTTTCAAAGCATGGCCGATTAAATTGGAAAAAAAAGCTGTGTTTTGGCCAGCACATGCTACGTTTATAGCTTGCGGTACTGCTGGCGTTATAATTGGTAAACTTTTGATTTAAAAATTGTATCTGAAACATAAGCAGTTCTTAAGTATTATGCAATATGGCTTATAGAACTTTCGGTCAGTACTTTATATTATTTATGTTCACATGTTCACTACTTTCTGTGGGTGAAAACTTCATTAGAATCTCCACAACATAGTGAAGTTAAGAGATTCTAAGAGATCATTAATCCTAAAAGATTTAGTATTCCAGTTTTTCAGTCGTTAATGTGTTTCTTGAATCATTTCTTGCTATTGATGTGGTATTTATGTTTTCTTAACCACTTTGACAGCTTTGCTCACTGAAGAAACTGAAGTGGTTTGCTGAAAGATTAATGTACAATATGGGTTTCAGGAATTCGTGTCAATTCTTATACTTTTCTTGGAAATGCAAATCATTCGTACTTCAAAAGTTTGCGAAAGTGTCCAAGACTGACCTGGTTGATTGCTCTCTACAGTTCTGGCCTTTTTTATTTTGGTATTAATGAAAATACTGTTTCTAGATATTTGTACAGGTGCAAATTAAACTCATATAAACCACGTAGGGAAGTACTGTTTTCTTAGAAGTTTGTGGGCAAAGAGAATATAAAAAGGCTGCTATAAAAGAAAATTTTGAATGAATGCTTATTTAGCACTGAAAACAACCGTAAATATAAAAGAACTTATTTCACCAGTTACTATTTCTTTCCAAATTTGAATAAATTTATGTTTCAGTCATGGCGATCTTTGCAACACATGTCTAGTTTTGGGCAGCATAACAACTGCATTGTTAGGTGGACTCTGTTTCCCAATGCTTTCAACACCCTATTTGACTGCAGCTGCAGTAAGTCCTTTCTTCTTTCCGTCCTTGTTTCGATTATTTTTAGGCTTTTCCGTGCATATTCTATATTTATTAGCAAATTTTTGATAGCAGTGAATGTTCTGAAGTATTGTTATTATATTCTAGGCTATACTTCAAGGAGATGATAATGCAATACCGAAACTAAGGAAAACTAACAACTGGCTGAGTTATTTATTTCGATGGAAAGTAGGTGTTAATGCCTGTCGAGGAATTCTATTACCAATAACCCTTGGATTGAGTGCCGTTTCTGGTATTTCCATGTATATTAGGCTCTGGGGCAGACAGAGGTAACATTTTTATTAGTTACCTTCCAAGTTGTTTATACACATTTAGATGGAATGACCAGATATAGCAAAATTTGGATAACTCATGACACTAGAAAGAAGCCTTTTATTGCTGATAATTTTATTCTTAAATCTCCGTGATAAAACCTCTTGGTCAAGAATAAGAATGGTTTTAGGATTATGGATACACTTTCTGTGGAGCCAGGATTTGTTGCAGAAGTAGATGAATAATATTCTATGGATATATATTTGGTCAAGTGTGTCCAATTTAGGATTTAACTTTTGAAGTTTCCTTGTGTGATATATGTCATCAGTTCTGATAATAGATGAAAAAACTTCATCTATTTCATCCGCAGATTATATAGAGAAGTACCAATACACAGTTTAAATTAGCTCGGTTTGTTTTGTAAATGGATAGTTTTAGTCGGATTCTTTGTTAATTAGTTATTTACGAAATTCTCTTTCTGTATATTTATAGTCTTTTTTCGGTGAAGTATGCATTCTAAGTGTAGTCCGATGAATGCTAAATGCAAATGTATTAAATTACTCACATTTTAGAAAACCAGGGTGATCTAGGAGTACTCAAATTATGTCTAAAAGTAAATATTGAGTAGTGGGAAATTTTTGCAAACTGTGAATGTTTGATTTTTCAATATCATTTAGGAAAAAAACTTGATTGCTGTAATACGGGACGTTAAGAAATCACCTCAGTTTAAATCAGTTATATCTAGAAGTTGAAGTCCTAAATTTACAGCAATAAATTGTTAATGCTTAAAAAGAATTTGTGCAAAAAATGTGCTAGAAATTCTTTCAATTTCTTTTTTAATCTCACTTTATTTCAGTTTTAAATTGATATAATTTTGTTTGTTCAGTTCTCCTGTAATATGTGTACGTTATTGCTTATTTCTCATTTGCTCATATTTTCGCAAAGAAAAACATTGATACATCGTGAGTTTTTCCTTTTTCCATTTTAGTTGTTTTCTAAAAAGGTTTTTGTTTAAAATTAAACTTTAATTCACTATTTAGTAAGGTCTGCTGACTACTTTTGCGCACTTTTACTTATCTCTTTCATCTGGAATTCGTAAAGTGTAGGTTTGTGCAGATAAATGAAGGAGAGGGGGTTTTATATTTTTCTTAAATACGAAAGACAAATAAGAACCAGAATAAACGAAAAACTAACGCTTTGTTAGTCTGCACATTTTGAACAAAAAATCTTTATTTTTTGTGCTATGGTAATGATACGTCACCCTTCAGGTTACAAGAGCTTTATATATTTGTTACAAAATACAAGATAAATCAATAAAGAAATACAACGAAGCAAATTTAAGCTATCGTAACGTTATATTTTTGTTTTGCAGTAGTGATGTTTTCAAACTTTTATGAGGTTACAAGAGCTGGAATATTTATTTGGAAGGTTCAAATTTGATGGAAATGTACCATTGCAGATTGTCTTTCATGATGTGACTGGCATTCATTCGTTAGTTTAGAAAAAAAAAAGACTTCAGTAAAAGATGATCGTAAAAAATAACTGCAAGAAATAACAGTAAAGGACCGTCGTATGGACTCCATCATGTAATCCTTTGTTTTTTTTTTTATATCAAAAAATCGATAAGAACTCGCGGTATATGAAGTTTTGCGTTATGGTTGTGCATAAAACCGTACATATTAGGCACATTTCTAGACGCTACTTTAACATATCATCGGTCAGGGAATAACCAACAAAAGAATATTCACATAACATTCTTCATTTAAGCGACTGAATGGCATTAGCATTAAACGCTCGAAGTGAGTGAAAGTCATTTTCACAAGACTTTCAAAATTGATGAGAAAGCGGAATTACTTGACCTTCCTGTGTAATTATGCAACCCAGATCTTGCAACTTTTACATTTGTAATCGAGAAGGAATAATAACTTAATGGATAAGCTCTACTATTTCCCGCTGAAAATCACAATCATAGATGCACAGAACCGAACAATTTATACTATATGTCCAATAATGTATTTGAGATGCAGAAATCAAGGATTCTATAATAAAAAAGACTACACTCCTTTCATTATTACCAGTAAGGAAATTAAAGAAAACCCAAATCCTCCCACTTCAGTTTGCAATTCATGTAATACTGTTTCAACCAATTTTCGAATTTACAACTAAAAATCAAAGAAAATGTATGAGTGTCGACCCAAGTTGGTCTTAAGCAATACTGATGTCTATTTTAGTTGATCTAACATGATTTTTGGATAAAATGTTGTAATCGATTAAATCTTTTTATTCACTGCAATATACATAACAGAAAACCATGCGACAAGCATGGAACGAATTGCATCATATAAGCTGCAAGGAATGAGTTTATAAGAGATCGATATTTTCTGATTTGATGCTTAACAACTTCCACCTTGCTTCGTTCAGCTCAACTGTTATTACAGGACCTTCAATTACAATACTTGAAAAGCCAGAACAATGTGTCATCCATCCTTTCCTCAATATTGCAGGTGTCTTATCAGTTTAGTGTCATTTTACCCTGTAAAGTAGTAATGATTATTTCTAATCCCGGATATATAGCATGTGATATTTAGATTCTCAAATAATATAGCACAGTTACAAATCTTCATGAACTCTTTATTATTAGAGTAAGACCAAATTATGTTACTTTTAAGACCACGCCCAAATTCATTCAAAACTTCAACAAAAAAAGAAAAAAAACACAAAAAAAACCTTCAATTATATCTTTTCGGCTCTTCCCTCAAGAAAATTTTGCATATAAGATCTATACTGAAATGAAGAACAATTTCTTCTTATGGATTGACAAAGTTCGATTTTTAAGCCTACCACAACTGCATGAACAAAAAAAGGGATAAGATTTCGGTCGCACTCCTTTTCAATCTATTTCGTTTTTCTTCCATTCTTTTGTCGGCACTTCTGAAGGTTGATAAATTGTTCCTCTCTTATAACAATGTTCCGAGGACGATTAAAGGACAATACTTCCCGAAGATTTTCTTCACAAAAGATTTGAAGCAATCTAAAAAAGATTTTAAAGACAAAAAGTTAATAATCGATTCAAAGTCTAATTTATTTTCATCGATTTGATCGCTTTTAAACATATAATTACAGCGTATCTTAAAGGAGTAGTCGGAACAAGAAGAGAAAAAGGATAAGGCGTAAAGAAAGAACGAAGTTTAACTGATTTAATGACAATTTCCGAAGTAGCATAATAATATCTAAAATTCAATAGCAGTCGAAAGAACCTCACGATCAAATACTTTGACAAAGAAAATCCAGAAATCTATAATGTTTTTTGCTTCTGTCACTTTGATTTGAAATTCAGTGAAAACCAGCTTACATGTAATGGAGGCACTTCTTTTACCGAGGAGAGGCGAATCGAAAAGTATGTTTTAATGGACACTGTCAGTAAATTTATCAACAAAAGCTATTTCTCTCCTAAATACTAATAAGAAGAATTTCAAGTAGCCAGTATATTCCTTGAAACTTCAGACAGATAATAATGTACTTTAAAAACTACAGTGTGTACAAGAGATTTATCCAATTGCTAATCTCAGTGATAAAGTATGTTTTACAACTTCAGGTTCGCAGTTACAATGCCTTTTTTCGGTAAACTACGCTAAAATCGATACGGAGACGATAATTTATTTTATTATATGAAAACCTAAATGCAGTTCTACTTTGATATAACAAATCCTTTCTTTGACACCGAACATCTCCTAAATAGTATAGAAAGTAGCAGTGTTTAAAAACCGTAGAAATCGAGCATCATTTCAGCACAAATGCATACCAGACGAAAGCCTTCAACAAATTTATTTCTTCCAATTGATCCGACTTCCTCTTCAGCAAAACCACTTTAGTGGCCGCGACCATAGATAAGGTCTGAAAACCGAAGTTTTATAACAATTACCCTAGAATCTTCACTTTTCCATGATCCTTGGCATTCCTCAGATTCCAACACAACAACCTGTCTAGATAAACTTCGAAGCAATTGTAGAAAAATGAAAAAATCGTTATGGAATGAACACTCCCTTAATTCCCCTTATCTAGAACTGATTACTTATAAAATCCTGCAAGAGACAAAGCAAAAAACTTTTGGTATTTACCATTCCAAAACTACCCAAACAAAACTATAGCAGGTATGACAAGGTTATCAAAGACCAATACAAAAGACGCATGTGGAAATGATTTCCATGTAAGAAAAAAAATTATTAGTAGTTATCCCAAACGTTTCAATATGACTTCGGACGGAAATAGAGGCAAAATTGCAATTCTTAATTTTATTGCATGCATTATCAAACTTTTCAGAGCCATTTTGAGCCTTTTCCTGTTTAATTACCCATCAAGTAATTACTTCAGTCATTTGAGAACAACGATTGATATTCACAATCTAAACTAATAAGACTAAAGCAAAGGCAAGCAGCATTATCGGTAAAATTTCCGAAGCAGATTAGCCAGCTTATTCAGTGAACTGATATCATAGCTGAAAACAGTAACTGTGACGTTTAGTATCGCTATCCGATATAAGCTGTTAATATCACTATCACATCATACAGGCATGTGATTTGAACCCTTATACTCCCTGAAAGATTCCCAACTTTTAAAATACATATTATCAGATCAAATTTAAAGTTGAAGTTGTGCCGAAATCATTTGTTAGTAATAGTGTACGCAAAGAATACTTGGTTGAATTTCGCACATTTCTTTTTCGAAATCACATTTTCAATATACTTTGACAACATAACAAAATATCAAATTTTTTTCGTATAAAAATAGCAAGCAAGCTTTAGACGGTACTTTTTTAAAGATTCCTGACAGATCTCTCTCTCTCTCGCCCTCTCTCTCGGTCTCTCTCTTTCTCTTCCTGTCTTAAAAAATCCCGCTTTTCAACAGCACTCTCTGTTCCCCAGTAATGTGCTTTAAACCACTCCTAGGATATGAATATTATACCGCATATTAATGTTTACTTACATAGTTTTCCATATAATCATATAATGTCTAATCATATTTTGACCTAATTACTAGCTCTATTCTAAACTAGTATGTATCTACCAACTGAGTTATTTTCAAAAAGTCAAAAAATTTTTAACTAGATCCGAACAATAAAAATTTTTAGAACTATAAAATAAAATTCCGACTATTTATATATTCTGCTATGTTATTTTTTCGAGTATAAAATTTTACAGCAGTTTCTACAATATTTAGCAGTTAGAACTGTTATGCAAAATCCAAAAAATTGTCGAAAGCTGCAGTAAAGAAATTTTTAAAAAGGGAAACTGGCAAAAATAAAAAATAAAAATCAAAGCGTTCAAGAAAAAAAAAATGCAAAAATCGCTAATACCACTGCCTGACTAAACTTGCCGTTAGTTAATTTCTTCAAAAAAAATTGTTAATTTAAAAAGTGGCATAAAAGTCTACCCTCACTTTATGGTTAAAGCACATTGCCCAAAGCGATAAAGCATATCTGGAAAGAGCAGAGTAGGAGAGAAGGATTAAATAAAATCATATTTTATAACTAAATGTATTCTATTATTACTTTACCTTTTCAAGTATTTCTGATTTTCAAGCACTACTCCCAAAATGAGGAACGACTTTGGGCGAGCTGCTGTTGTTGCTGTATTGGCATGACTAACTCAAAATTAATTACAAATTCCTGAAAAATCTCGTTCATTCATAGCAAAAAAATTGGAATGTGAAGTGGGAGCGAAAAAAAAGCCGCCTGCCACTATGCTTATTAAGGTGAAGAACAAATTCTTCTTAACTATACACACGCACACATACACATACAAATATACACGCATGTACACACACATACACACGCACGCAGACACACACGCACACATATAAACATAATAAAAACATCGAAACAGGAAAGAATGACCATTTGAAAAAAAAAATCATCCAGAAAAAAGAATTTTCTTTAAAAAAAAAAGCAAAGATAAAAAATGAGAGGAAAAACAACACTAAATACGTTTGAACATCACCGTCATCAAAAAGGATCACAGAATGCAGCACAAACCGCGCGGGTAACGAGAGATACGTATATGACATGAAAGATATTTGTTGTTGTTGTTGTTGCTGTTGGTGGTGTTGTTGTTGATTTCTATGACAGAATAGTAATAGTAGGAATAATAATAATAACAGTACAATAATAATAGCAATAGTAATAGGGTGGTTTTTGAGTAGTAGTAGTAGTAGTATTGGATAGTGTAACTTTTTTTGTGATACCATTAGAAACGTGGAGGAATCTGGCCACTAACTGAAAAGTAAAGCAAAATATTAGCATTTTGGCTTGAAGCAGCGATAGCGGCATGCGCAATTTTTCTTTAATTTTAAAAGAGAAATTGATCAATTTTGGCATCAATTTTTTAGTACTGGTACTCTCAAAAAAATACAATGGTCTTCACTGAACGGAGTATTTTTTGATTGCTGTTTCTCTAATTACCTATCCCCTTTTACCGTGCTTATTTTGGGTATAAAAAAGGTTTCCTCATGTGCTTAATATATCATACTTAATCATTTTCATTGACTAAACCTGCTAAAAAGGTTTAATTAATGAACAGATAATGAGCAGACAGTAGTAACAGAATGATAAATAATTAATTTACTTTCTGATCACAGAGAGGATATTTCCATTTATGCTAGATATTCTGAATGAAACATCATTTATGTTCCATTACAAATCTTAGAATCACTAATGTGTCTTTTAGAGGAAGATGAGATTTTTAAAAATCAAGTGTTTAAAATTAAATGAATAATATTTTTGTTGCATAGGAAAAAATGTGGATGAAATAATTGTTAGAAAAGGTAAAATTTATCATTAAATCATTTTAATCACTGGTAGCAATAAGTTGGGAGAAAAGTGAAGCAGCGACAAACAATTTTGTGCAGTACAGTGCATCTAAAGAATAGGTGTTGAATTTAGAATGAAGCGTAAGCTTTTCATCCCATTTGCGACAGTGAAACAAAAATGAGGGATACATGATAAGGTGTTATCGCTCAATTCAGATAACACTTTTTGCCAATTCGTAACGACCAAACTTGACACATGAGCATTAGCATCGAAAAAAACGATGAGGCATACTATATGTGTTCGCTAAATGCCGCCAAATCATTCAAACAATAGCAAAGCTAATGTTTAAATTAAACGGTACAAAATTAATAATCAGCAATGCGAAAAGAGCGATCGTTCCCATGTGCGATCATACTATATCACCAGAACTGCATTTTCTAATCATCATTAGACACCGGAAAACTGATCTTTAACGGTTAATAAAAAAGAAAGAGTATACTTACATGACACAGTTGGCATGTAGCCGATACCGGGAATCAAATATGGATTGAAGGTAGCTTGTGGTACATGAGCCGCAGCAGCAAGTTGGGCTGTAGCACCATTTGCATACACTGGCACACCACCTTTCTCAGCAGCTGGACGTTTACATGGGACAGCACCTGCCTGGAACCAAACATGCGTTTTTTATACTAAAGTTAGTATAATGCGTTGGGAAATGAAATGGTTTCGAATAATTGAAAAGAAAAAACAAAAAGTTAGCTTGAAAAAAACGAAGCAGTTTGACGGTGGCGGAGCATAAAGTTCTCTTCCTTGGTAGCTTTTCATGCTTTAAAGGCACACAACATATAACAAAGTATCGTGTGAGAAGGCGAGAAAAAAACAAGGAAGGAACTCTAGAATTAACGATTGAAGACATCAAATAAATTTAAATTAAATGGAATTTCAAGTTAAATTTAAACAAAAACAAAATTAAGGTGTAAAAACGAACAGAAAAAAAAAAACTAGAAGGAAGGTACCAATGCATTTTAAATGAAAATTGGTACCGTCAGTACCGGGGAACCGTTGAAGAGGTATGATTTCTTTGGGTCGACACTCTGAAAAAAAAAAAAGGATGCGTGTGTGTGTGAAAGAAAGAAACAAACGGAAAATCGGTACCGCAGCAGCAGCAGCTAGGAGAAAGGAATTCTGATCGAACTGTTGCGCCGTTGATGGCCCAGCAGCGGCAGCCGCAGCAGCTTGTTCCTCTTCCAAGGCACGTTTTCGACTATTCTGTAGTGTTGTTCCGGTAGTAGCAGTTCCGCCTGATCCAGCTGCAGCCGCCGCTGCCGCAGCAGCAGCAGCCGCAGCTAACGATGGTGGTAATGTTGCGGTAGCTGGAGCCAACTGTGGTGGTAACGTGGTAGTGGTAGCAGCAGCCGTAGCTGCTTGCGACATAGCAGCAAGATTTTGAAGCGCCATCAGCTGGGCTTGAACTTGCTGGAAGGGAAATATTCGCAATGGATGATAAACAGCCGCATTAAGCCATGCAATAATCATACACACACGTACACATTCACGCACACCTACGCACGCACACTCACACATATATTTAAGAAGCCACCACACAAAAAAAAAATAATTTTCACATCAAAAACAGTTCGGCGTGCATAATACATTTCTTTTAATTGTTTGCTTAAAAGTTATTATGTTTTATAGATAACGACTGAATAAAGTAATGACAAGATGAGACATACTTCACGTATGTCATTTCTTATAGGCAAAGTGGCCAAAGAGAAGGATTCGTATATATTCCCCATTACAACAGGCAGATAAGAAATTTAATCATCCAAAGTGAAAATACTGAATAGCAAATTGAAATCAGATTTTTCCTGATAAATTCGATCGATAATCACTATCTCTAACAAGGTAGGCATGATGATGACAAATATTTAAAACGATTGATTTGATCGAAGATTTGGATACGTTACGTTAGCTTCATCGTTTTCCTGTGATAAATCGATCAGAGACGTTGACGTATTAATTTAATTAAAAGTAACAGTAGTAGTATGGATGGATTCGGAAAAAGTAGCATCAATGAAATGCAAGTGGGATCATTACCTGAATTTTCAACATAAATAGTAAACTACACCAGCATTGCAGTTTTCATTTTGCTTCGAAACTTTGTGTTAATGCGCAATTTACTTTCGTTCTCAATCCTATTTAACTAATTCAGATGAGACGATAAGGTGATGGAACTAATATTGTTGAGGTCTTTTTTTGCATAAATCATCGTAACATTTATTAATGATTTCTCTTTAGAAGACAGTTTAAACATTTAAACATTGTAAAATCCATGTGACTGCCCTAATACTGCCACAATTAATGCAATCTTATATTTCCGTACATTTAAAACAGAAATCCTAGGTGATATTACTTCCGCAGCTGGCAATTCGGTTCAAGTTATTATTTGTTATTATTATTATCGGGTGGTTTAAATGGATGAATGAATGGACGTAAAGAAATGAGTCATGCTTCAAGCAGTTTCTTTCGAATATATCATAAAAGCATTTTGCTTCGAGAGAAAAAAAAGGAACACATTCATTTCACGTGAAATTTACACATTTTTATGGCGGAAAATGGATGATCAGTAATAATGACCAATTCTACATAATAAATAGTAGCAGCAACATGTAATAGAGAGCTTAGAAGCAACAGAAAATAAAGAAAAACTGACACGCAAAAATAAAGAGATTATTTAGAGGGAAAAAACACAACGTTTTTGGTCGAGCTCACAGTACACAGAAGCGAGGCAGTAAACGTATAATCCTGATTTGAGATATGTATTTTCAACTTTTTAGCAATAGAGAAAATGGAAGGGAAGAGAAGGGGCGGAAGATTCGAGGAGTATAAAAAAGGTTGAAAAATATGAGAAACATTCCAACACTTGCACGCACGCGTTAATTCCAGTTATCCCGGTAATCTCAAGGAAGTACGAACGCATGAGCGTTACTTAACTTTTACCAATTTGAACTTTTAAGCTATGAATTATATCTATCACACAATTTTATTTCATTGCAAGGCATGAGAGAATAAAATAAAAAAAGTCAGTAGTGGCCTTTATCAGGGCATATATTATCATTAGACGAAGTGAAACGCATCATTATCAACTACCAAATTACTACTTATTGTTGCGTATGTAGTTAATGTGCATACAAGTGTCGGGCGTATTCCGGAAATCATGCTCCTTGAAAGTTCTGCCACTTCCAGGGACTGCAAATTCCCAGAAAGCATAGATCATTGTGGTAGCTTCTTTGATATTCGTTCTCAACCGAAGTTTTTGAGAATTCAAAAGAAATATCATCAGGACAGAAATAACATTTGTTATGCATCATCAGTGTGAATGTGAGACTTACCTGTGCTTACTCTTCTTTCATAAAAGAATTATTTAAGAGAAATAAAAAAGTACTAACCGCTTGATAAGCAGCTGCAGCATCACTGCTTGGAACAGGCACAAGTGTTGGATACATGGTGGTGATACCCTGATAATACTGATAAGGAAGTGCAGCTGGGACTAAAGTTGCAGCTTGTGCGGCAGCTGCAGCGGCAGCTTGCTGCTGTTGTTGTTGAACGATGAGAAGCTGATCATTGAGTGCTGCAGGACTAGCCTGACCACTGACGACCAACTGCGCTAATGGATTCATTGTTGAAAGTGCAGCAGGAGCTGCTGCTGCTGCTGCTGCATTCTGATTCAACTGTGTACAAATTAAATTTTTGAGAGCCAAATTATTTCGACCATTTATCAGTAACTGATCCTTCAGATGCTGTGGCGGATGCAAATATTTGCATTTTGGGTTTTCCCGAGTGCATCGACCCTACAACAAAATGATATTCGAAGCAATAAATTACTTAGACGTGACTATATGCATAGTCACGTTGATTCATAATCAGTTTCACATTCTCCTAAATCTTATTTTAGGTACCTCATAATTAACCATTATGACATTTTACGTGTGATGCTAGAAGACGCCGGAAGACAATGAATTAAACGTGAGCATACATTTTTCTTCTTGTTACATAGATACAACAAACAAGTTCCAGGGTGCATTCCTATTACCAATAATGCATGACAGAATCAACTACTACACATAATATCAGTAGTAAATTAATTTATCATGAATTTACTTGAATTCCTATTTGAACGATTGTTAAGTGGGAAGAGTTCCATCTATTTTATTAATAAATACATGAAAGTCTTAGATGAAGAAACGGAAATTTTATTTGCAAATACAGAAAATATATCCCATTTTATTAGATATCTCAAATCATCTTTCCTTCTGCATTTTCATTATTATGCTATGTTGACAGATAATATATTTTATAATTTAGACCTACCAATAATGTTATTATATATATGTGTATCCCACTTTTTTCTCACAGACGATAGAAAAGTTTTTTTGAATAGAACAATTAGTAGACTTGGTAGCCATCAAAAAGAGGTACTAAGGAAAATCATCACAGTGTTCTCTGAACTAGAGGCTAGACGTCAAGGCTTCAGCTTCACAAAACCACAAAACCACAAAAAGAAAAACGTTTTAGCGAAGATAATTTATTTCTAGCTTAGCAGAATTCATTCCAACATTTCTATAGGCAAGGTGATAAAATTATAATTGACAAAAAGACAAAAAACCTATGTTTGCACTTAAAAATCATAGTGAGGAAACTAAACAGTAGAAAATTTTTCGAGGAAAAAATTAAGTAGCCAGAGCAAATAAGTTTAAAATTTTTGAAATTTCCTAGCATTCTACTACTACAGGATTAATGCAGTTGGCTTCGATCATTGTTATCATCAGCATCATCATCCAATTGCCCTTTTGTTTTGTTAAAAGCTGGCAAATGCTTATTAATATGAGTGAGCAAATAAAGAAAGATAAATTCTAGAAAAATAGAGAAAGTAAGAAAAGAAAAATAAACCTTAATGGAATCATAACAAGCAGTAACACGGCCATTCTGTACATCAACGTGTGGAGGTGGGTGTGCAAATTTACATTCTATATCTGATCTCGAACACTGACCTCTTTGAAATTCGCGACATACCTAGAATTCAAGTATTTGCGACTTTTCTTGCTTCACTTTTTAACACTTTTATTGAAGACAACTTTTTCAAACTTATGTAATATCACAAATTTACTTATTTGCTCTCGAAGCAAAAATGTTTTCTCGTTTTATTTTTTTATTTTTTTTTTTGGAAAGAGTATACAACTGACTGAACATATTAATCTTATAAAACTTTAAAAAAAAAAAACAACTACAAAAGAGTTCAACTGGGACAAGAAACAGCTGACGCTCCCAATCCATGAAGTCAAAATGAAAAATGCGTTAGAAATTCTTACACTGAAAAAATTATGTTTTGGAACATATATAAAATAAAGATGTACAAAGGAAGTCGGAAAGGAAAATTAAACAAATGATACCAAAAGATTGTATTCTTTAGGGAATTCTTTCTGCTTATAAGTGGAATATATTGTTCGCTGATTCAAAGGGTGGTGATGTGCTTTTTAAAAGAAATATGATCGATTTACCACGGTTTTTACTGATCCTTATCCAATAAATATTAACACTAAGAAACTGTGAATGTCTGAAGCTAACTTAATTAAAAATTATTAGGATAATGAGTAAAATGAAATTTACCTCCAGCTGTAACCATCTGGAATCTTTAACATTAAGCAACTGCGACATAAGACCCGTTGAAGAAGTACTGCTTGCTGCTGCTGCTGCTGCTGCGTTGCTGTTCTCATCGTACATGTCAATAAATGCCTACAAATAAATAATTATGGTAATTAATTATATCTTATCGTACAACGAATCACGAAATACTGTCGAAACGATAGGATTCATGATCTTATTTCAAATTTATGTCTGCATAAAATTTCAGAATATTTTCAGAAAAAATGACCGATCACACTCTCAATAGTGACCTTTAGAGAAAGAAAAAAGTCTGATTCATGAATAAAAGATGAAGGGATTACTACTATGCAGTCATTATATTATATCTAACCGTTACAGTAAATGCAAAAAAAAAATTTCGCGAAAAAAAAAGATCGAGAAAATTTTCCCAGTTCATTTACACAATAACTGTTGGTATATCCCATAACTTCTTAAATAAATGAAATGCGATAAGGAAATGAGCAACAGAATGAAGACTGTGACTCATGTCCGAAAGGGCAGTTAACTCAGTAAATTGCAGTCAGAATATTTGCGCCATCAAGCCTCACACAGACGTGCTACATGACTCCTTAATGACAAATCTATGTATCTATTCTGACCTATGTATAAATAAATTGATGAAAAATGGTGTCCCACCACTACCACAAATGAAATTTAAAATTCGACAGGGCGTTTTATATCCAAGGCAAAAGAGCACCGATCACTAACAGGTACGCACTACCACTTGTATGTCTCTAATAGTAATATCTACATTTGATGTCCGTCCTCTCCGTCGTATGACACGTCGACGCATGCATTAACGTACAGATGCGGACACATGCATGTACTTGCGACACTTCACCACCAACTCGAGCATCACTGTAGCCAGCTGTGTCTTTTCTCCACACCGTTAAACAAGCCAGTTTTGGTGAAGTCTCCTCTTCCAAACATTGTTTGTGTGTGTGTGTGTGTGTGTTTGTCCGTCTATCTGTCTTTTCGACCGTTGTCATATTTACATAATATTGCTGTATGCTTTGGCGTGTCTGTCTTCTATCTATTCGTCCTCTGTCCTTGGTTAAAACTGATGAAGTGATCAAGTACCAGATATTCATTCCAGTCCTTATCACAGTGAATCGTTATCAGTTGATTGAGGAATGAAGTAAAGCGCTGTTAAGTGACCGACTCTCGACATGAATAATTCCCCACCATACACTGGAAATACTGGTGACAGCCAGTGCTTGATTGTATTGCTGAAGCTATCATTGGGACGAGACAGAGGACATAATCTGGGGATAGAGGTAGAGACAAAGGGAAGGATGTAAACAAATAAACAAAGCTGAGAAAAGATAACGGGCCTTTGATATTTAATTCAACTTCTAAATTACTATTCATTCTTGCTTGGAGAGTATTATCGATGGACATTAACTCTCGAACAATGCCACTTAAACTGATCATCGGCTTACAATGTCTGACGATCACACTCCAATTATTCACTTTCATCATCATTAACACATATAGAAGGGCTTGGAAGACGGCGGAGCCATTCACTCCAGTGGGCACATCCAAAAAAACATACTGCAAAGTGATCCTTTGTTGACAGGATGCTCTCCTCGATTACAATACATTCCCCGAGAGGAACTCCCTCTCCCTCCTAAAGTCCGATAATTTTAATGATTGATCAACAAAACCTAATTTAGTCTAATACTTTCGCAATGTCTAATACGATAGCAGCAATTCATTCAAATGTACAAAAAAATAACAAATAAATTTGTTAAATTGTTGTAATGAGAAATACTGCCAATAAATAGATCTCACGAAAGATTGAAGTGAATGACAGTTTCAGCGATAATTTTATTCATCCAAATTAACGTTAAGTATATCTGGCAAATAATAGATACAAAACTGGATCAAATTATTAGCTGCAGCTAAAGGACTAATTTAAATATCGATTATCATTTTATCATCCTGTTACTACTTGTAAAAATACAAACAAGTACGCCATAGAATACTATGACAAAGAATAAATTTTTACAAATTTTACTGCACATTAGAAAGAGTATTAAAGGTGAACAAGCGATGTTTCTATCTCACAATCTTATGTGCCAATCTATATTAATAAAGGTTGATATCCACACCCTCTGTGATAAAAACTAATATATGTTTCCCCTGAATTTTAAGAAATTATTATATTGCAAGGCCTTGGGAACATTTCATGGTAATGTTGGAGATACAGCAACATGCCAAATTGCCCTCTTGAGATATCCTACTGAATATTATAAGCATTAGGGAAGGCAATTTGAACAACTGCCATTCAAAACAACTGTCGTACATTTTCAATTTTTGCAAACGTTGCATTCTTCACTCTAGTTACAGTTTTACATAAAGTTGGGAGAAATTGAACGACTAAACGACAATGCGAAAATAGAATTTAATTGTTTTGTATAAAAAGAACTATTTATATGTTGATGAGTTAATAACATTATGTCCATATCTTATTATTCGAATCAACTTCATCTAATCCCAATTTCTATGACAAAGTTATCAACATACTTTAATTATATGATAGAGTATTATCTCACACAAACATTACGATACTAGCAATAACGATGGATAATAATTCAGAATATCAAAAAATAATCTTATTAAAGAATGATTAGAATGTCATAAATAAGAACTTGGACTCTGTCACAGTAAAACGTGTCAACGGATGCACTGTAATGTGTTGTAGATTATAAAAAAAAAAGTCAAATAAAAATTTTATATATAATTTAGAGTGGAAAAGAATGCACGAATACCTCCGCAGGTATGTAATACGAAATTTCGGTTGGAATGAAGAAATTATAAAATGAATTGAATCGATTTTTAGAAGAGAAATTTTAGGGATGCAGATAGCTTCTTCTACTTTTCCGCCTGTTATAAAATCACTGTTCACTCTTCTGGTCTCTATCATTCTCTTCCGATAGAAAGGACAGAGGACGTCGGAATTTCTTTTTTGATCGTATAGTGATGAATTTTATCACTGAAGAGAACGACCTTGCCACAAACGCTAACCACATGTAGCGGTGGATGACTGCTGTGAAGCTCCGTTCCTTAATTCATCACATAATCTTTCTGTCATTACAAACCAGATAGCCCAACAGACCTACTTCAGGATGTGCAATAGTTTAGAAATCGTTTTCCGTATTTCTCGTCCGTTTTCAACTGCGCAAATGAAGGAACGGTTTTCTTTCATTATCACCCATACATTCTCGAAGTATTCATTAGAATTTCATTCCAGAAAATGATGGATCACAACAGGTAACACTTAAACAATGGGTAATATTTCAAAACCACTGCTTTGTTTCCATTAGAAATTAGCAGAAGCTGCAGTCGAAAAATTAGCATTTAAACTCTTAACTTATTAAGGAAACATTACACTGAATAAAAATTACGAGGTAATTAAATACGTATTACCTTAACGTTGAGAGTATACATGTGGTAGAGACAATCAACAGTAGAAGACAACAAGTAATTTGTGTCGATAATTTATCGGTAAACGTTTACACGAAAAACAGGCGACAGCAGATGTCTGGAATAAATATTGCATTTTGCTTTATTGTTAAGCAGGAAAATAATGAAGTAAAAAATATGTGAAATAGAATTTTGAATGCATTGTAAAAAATGTTTGCAGGTTTTAGGTTGTAAAGATTAGATAAAGCAAATTGTGGAAGACTTAATTGTTATTAATACTTACAACTGACAAGTTAAAATGCATTTTAAATTCTATTAGATAACACAATTGACAAACTCCTTAGCGACTTTTAAAGAATAAACTGTGATTTGATACCAGTCAACAATCAACCCTGAAAAGGCAGAAAATTCCCTCCCTGTGTAACTTATTAGTTGCAAGTAGAGAACAACAAGTAATTAATTTCTGTCAATAACCTATCGGTTTACGTCAAAAAATTTCTACACCAAACGTTACTTGTTTGATTCTTTTTCCATCGCAAAACTAAACAATATGAATTGGTGGGGTGGAAGTTTAAATACCGCCTTCCATTCTTGTTAGACATTATTGAATATACTACTGTTGCTTCATCTTGCAACAGTAGTGTATGGTGTAGGCCATTTAAAATAAAAACCTAATTTCTTTTTTATTTAAATGTCTGATGTTGTTCGCTGTTGCTTTCAAATTGGAATTGAATGGAGAATGAAAAATACTCCCAGTGAAGCAAAAAGTTGATGGGCTATAACCGACATAGAAAGAAAAAGGAGAATTGGAAAAGTCTTTCAATTTTCTTTCTTTTAACCCTAACTTTCAATAATTACTGTTAAATGAAAGGTTGCCTTATAGATTCGAACACTGTAAGGAAGTGTTGGACAATAATGAAAGCTACTACGCAATAGCCTAGAAGACATGTCTTAAGTGAAGATTATGACTGAAGTTAATAATTATTTTTCAGACTACACTGAAACTTCAGCTAGCTGCTAGGTACTAACTAACTAACTAGTTAACAAGTCAAATTGAGATAGACGGGATTGGACAGATGAAATGAATCACTGGTGATGAGGAAGGATCCACTCAGTTTGTATGTGTCTTTCCTGTCGTCGTCGATGGGAGGATGAGACGCTACAGCAATAACTTTCTATTTGAGCCGTCATTTATCTCAGCCTCTGTCCTCCAACCTCCGTCTGTCTTGGCTAGCCAACGACAAAAATAGGAAATAACTATATCCAAAAAAAAAATGCAGCCTTCCAGGAAAATTGGCCGAATGTTTAACAGAAAGAATGAGAGGATGATACTGGAATCGACCACGACAAAAGCAACGTCAAGACGAGGATGAACGCTTTTTAATTTAACGAAGCGATGAAGAGGAGGGTCCTCTTCATCGTTAAATCTACCGACTACGGTAACTAATAACTAACTCTCTTTCTACATGCTTCATCCTTTATTAAGTAACTTTCTTTGTGGAAGCGGAGAATGGTGAGAAATTAGTCTCCATGAAATGAACGCATTGTTGCTTACACTCAAATATGCCACAACTCTAAACGGAAAGAAAGCCAAAAATGAGAGTGTTTTTCTAAGGAGAGAGGCAGTTCATAGCATGTCTCTTCTCCCG